CCGAGTACCCCCCTGGGGTATAGAAGCGCTAAATCCCTGTCTAGGCTGCCTAGGGCATGATGACCAACAAGCCTTAGCCCGTTCCAGGCTCCGAGATGGTGGTGGAAAGTCGTTCAGTAATAAGAAATGTGACAAACGCGCATTTTTCCCGCCGCCACCGCCCCCTTTCCCAAGTGGTGCCCGTCTTATTTTCGCTTTGCTCGTTTTAATACGTTCCCACTATACTATCTGAGAGCCTGGCACAGGCTAAGCAAGCCTTAGATACGTGTACGACGGTCATCTGAATTGACCGATTGCGCAATATAAAACAAAGGAAGTGTTGACAACATAGTGCAGGACCGAAGGTCGGAAACCAGGAGAAACCCCTGGAACTTATTACTCGCACGTCATCTCGCTAATTCATATGACATTTTATTCCGACAGGAGCAATTAACACAATCAAAATATGCTTTTGTCCCCAAATGATAACCGGAACTTCCGTAAATACATCATCGATTTTATTTTAAAAATTACAAATATCTTTTCAAGGAGAGTAACTTCAGAACACTCGGCCACTTTACTTAAATTTATTTACATTGTGCGGGCCGCGCCGAAACGTTTCTTTGCAACTACCACGTAAAACCAAAGTTTCCAGGTGATTAAAAGCAAAAGGACGCGCGCAACGAGAACGCGATACCACGAAAATATTGTTTTCGAAATGTAACCGCATTAGTAGAGATTCTCCGTGAACGGATCGCAACAGTATTGTTTTAAATAAATATCAAAAAGAAAAAGAAAATCCTTCTTCCGAATAAACGGTTACGTACTGTGCTTTCCCATTTTTTAGGACGTACTATTAAAAAGTGCTGGAAATCGGAATTTTGCTACGCGTGTTTTATTTGTAACGAGAAAACAAATCTTTTACTAATAAATGCAGAAAAATATAACTGACGGAGGGTCTCCTACAAGAAAATCTCCTTTTAAAAAACACTCTAAAACAGACATATAGCTTTTATAGCTTGTAAACCCCTTAATTTTCCAGTTATTGCGCAAGTGATTTCATAATACCTTGGTGTCTAACTCACAGAATCACGGGCGTGCCACCTAGTGTTTCTGTTGCATGATAAAACTCGCAATTAGGAGTTTAGAACACCATGGCATTACAATAAAACTCGCTTACTCAAGCTAAAACATATTAACCTGTAAATTTCCACTTGGTGCGCAAGTGATTTCATAATACCGTAGTGTCTAAACTCACAGAATCACGGGCGTGCCACCTAGTGTTTCTGTTGCTTTAAAAATCGCACTTAAAAGTTTAGAACACCATGGCATTACAATAAAAAATAGTCGCCCTTGAAATATGTTAAGGTTCTTCTTAGTGTTTTCTCTTCAGGCTTTTCTTCGGCCTTCCATTCCTTGTTATTAATTTCTATACAGTCCTCTGGCAAGAATGTTACCTCGCAAGCAGCTATTGATCAAAAGACTCCCTTAAAAATGATTTCCATTCCCTTATCTAATTTCTAAAATCCTGCAATAAATAGCTTTTTCTTGACTGAATAAAGAGTTAAATAGCGGCAGCGGCGATATTTGGTAATTTTTGGCGGGCTTTGGACACGTTTTGGCGGGATGGCGATTTCACTATTCGACCGAATCCATTTGATCGCTTGGTGTTTGTGTTTTCTGCCTCTACTATAACATCTTCATCTACTAACAATAGTATTTCCGCAACCCGTCGTCATTAAATAACGGAAATTTTTTATGTAGTCCGTTTGCACACGCTTTACATCATTAGCAGCAGATCATGCATAATAGTCACCAAACAAATGCAGTTGGATTGGAAGATCTAACGTTATCAACTTCAAAATGCCTATCAGACTGCCGATAAATATTACCACTTACACGTTTATCTTGATATCATTAGGCTCAGAAACATTTTGAAGGCATAAATAGACTGCAGTTTAGCAAGCTCACGCCACAGAAATTCGTTGAATCTGCACGCACAAAGCCTCGGAGATCAATGATTGCAATCTGATTTGGCATCCATCTTTCCTTTACGATGAGTAGTATGCTGTGTGTTCAAGGACTGCGGGGTTTTACATAATAAACATTTTGAATCAACGCTTTAATTTTAGCTAGCAATATTCTCCCGATTCTATTGGAGTTCTGCGACCTTCAATACGTACACTCAATACAATATGGAACTACACTACATTTTACTGAATACTGGAAAAGACCATAAAGACAACGCTTGAGTCGAAGGCCTTGCGCGATTATTCTGGATAACTCGTGAGCTAAGAACGCAAATCTCGCCTTAATCTTGTTAAAAAATGTGACCCTTTATCGAATAACTGACCACTGATGATTGGATCAAACGGTGAAGAAACTAATTGCTTTTCGCAGTAGGAAGTTTATTGCTTTTCACTTAAACCCTAGCGTTCTTAACAACGCCAGCGTCCTGTGGTGTGCAAAAAAAAGTATTTTTGTCCGGTCCTTGTCAACGCCTTGTGGTTCATGGCTCAGCATTACTTGTTGATTACCGAATTTCTTTGACTTCTAGAGTCTGTCATTGAAAGCTAGTATTAATGGGACATTCTGGTCAAAAATAGGAAATTTTTGCCGAATTTATCTCGAAAATTTCATGTGGGCCTTCAGACTAAGTGCAACACCAACACCAACACCACCACCACCATCATCATCATCATCACCATCGTCATCATGCTTTGACACACAATATTTTGTGTTTGAATTTTAGGTCAAAATGCGTTCGGTAAATGTGTTACTTTTGCTGATGCTTTCCTTTCATGAGATGAAAAGCGCTTGTAAGTATATTTTTATTATTGGTTATCAACCTCGTCCCCAGGGCTTTTCCCTTAAAAAATTGGTGGGGCGCTGTCACAGCGTTTTGGGCATCCCCGCGTTTTGGGCATCCCCATTCCCATATCCCTAGCGTTTTGGGCATCCCCGGTGGGGGATGCCCAAAACGCTGATCACTTCGACTTTGCCTAAATTATTTCAGACTGAGGAAAAGTCGGGATTGTTAATCACGAATTTACGGCTAAATAGCGTTGATGCATGTTAGAATTATATCGTCCGACACTTTTTGCCGGGTTAATTGCGCAGAAAAAAACCCATAGGCAGTAAACGTTGGCTCAAAACATGACGAAACTGAAATTTACAACCGCATAACATGGCTTCGATGCACAACATTTCATTGTTTGCAAAGCTTTCAATTTTATTTAATAGAACTGTTTACAAGCGAGCAATGCCGCAATCGCCGGCAGCTGCGATCGTCTGCTTCCAAACAGCCAAAAACAAGAATACTAAACAAAGGAATCAAAAGGTAAACATGAATAAAAATGCGTTTTGCGTTGTTGAATTCCTAGTATTCATGACATTTGAGGCCTGTACAACTTAACCCCGCAGCGCTACTTGATACAGGAAAGGCTGTCACACAATTACAGAGGCCTCAAATCATCAGAAATAACCGGAGGTGGGGTGACAATTCCCCCCCAAAAAAACCTGCAGTGCAAGGGAAAGGCATGTCTAGAAAAAATCCTGTAGTTATGTAGTTATGATAAATGGACGCTCCAATGATGGTCACTAGAAGATATGTTGTGCTTGGCGCACGGGCGTGACAGCTGGCGTGACATAAATGGATGTTCAAGGCCACACTTAGGTCAACTGACAGAAAATCTGTCATCTCGACCCTTCAGAAATATAACTTCTGATCTTTGGCTTCACATAAAATAATAACAAACGGGATCTATAAGAAGGACTCCGGTTTACAATGCCCTTTGACAACCTACCAAAAGATGCAATTATACCTCACCCTTTCAAAGAACACTGACAACAGAAGAAAATTAGCGTATGTTTTCGATTATCAACGCGGGTGTTTTAAAAACACGATCAATTGGCAAATAAATAACATTTGTAACTACACTGTAACCATTTCTATCGTGTCCTTGTAGTAGTCAGGCCAGTAAAACCGCTCTTTGATTTTCCTCAGAGTGTTATCGCGGCCGGCGTGTCCAGAAAAAAGGATCAGAGTGGCACTCTTCGAAGACCCTCGCTTTATCTTCCTCGGCGATAACAAGACGTCGAAGCGCTGTGCCATCCTTCTCCTTGGCCACGTAGAACAAGAACTCTAATTTTGAGTCATACTCAAACTTTTTGGCGAATTTTCTAAGAATTGTTTTGTCCTGCTTTGTAAAGCCTTCCGGATAAACCTTATTTTTAAGATACCGGAACAGATTTGTATATTTAGCGGAATCCATCTCTAAAAGGTTTTCGATTTTCCCGCGAAATCCTAAATTGTTTTGGAGGGGATGCCCAAAACGCTAGGGATATGGCAATGGGGATGCCCAAAACGCGGGGATGCCCAAAACGCTGTGACAGCGCCACCCGAGGGAAAAGCCCTTGGGACGAGGTTGTGGTTATCACTACTTCATAAAAAGCAAGGTTGGCACTGTTGATTAGAGTGCGGGCCTTCAGTGTGTGAGGTCTCGAGTTCGATCCGCGGTGACACCATATCCTTGTTTCAACTTCTCTCCTTTCTGTGTAGCTTTGTCTAGCTTTAAATACCCTTAAAAACGAAGCGTTAATGGAGATAGGGGGTAAAATGACCGCACCGTCGACGTCAAGTTTATCAGTTATTACTTTCACGAGGATCGACGTAAAAAATGGTTACTTTACATTTTACCTTTAACGGTATGGAGGAGAGGTAATCAAGAATATTTCCCGGTTCAATCCATCCCTAGTCTTTATTGGAGGCGTTTTTTTTCGGGTACGCGAATGTTTCTGCTTGATGACCGCCATGTTGAATTCCCCTGGCATGAGTCAAAGGCGGTTATGATTAAATCAAAGATGGTGGCCACACGATACGAACATAAACAGGGAGCGCGGGTACTTCCGCCATAACATACTCCTCCCCCCCGACGGGCTGACTCCTGAGTCCCTTCACTTTCCTTCACGGTCTGTACGGACGTACGGGCTTACGGTCACGCGATTACCAAATTTCTCGGATAGATGAATTACCAGTTTTCTTAGGTATGGGGCTACGCGCGCGCTTGGAGCTCCGGTATAATTCACAAGTGCAGCTATTGTTTTAGATTTAAAAACAATGGGCACGCTAACACATGTAAAAGTTTTATTAAATTGACCCGAGCTCTTAAAACCCTTGCCGTGAGTCAGTCTTCCCTTCCCTGTGTTGGAGGGCGAATCTCCTGCTTAACATCCTAGTAGCGTACAATTTCTATCATAAAACTCAAAACAACAAAAAGGAGCGGAGTTTACAAAAACGAATTTTGTGGGTGCACTAATGATACAAGTCACTTTTCTTCCCCCAAATTAAGGTGGCTTGTACCAGTTTTCCTCTCTTTTGACGCTTTTAAGGATTGGGCAAAAAAGCAAGCCAAAGCCAAAGCAGCACTTTTGTAGAGTTTGATTATACAATTTGTGCTTGGGTTAAAACAACTGTTTTGGGGGCATTAGAAGTTACCATGGCAACGTATCTTAAGGATTATTTAGACCTACATTTTTAGCTTCCAGCACTGATAACTAGATACTGATTAAACAGGTGTCCACTACCCGGTTTTTCATTTTTTTTCTCTGACGTTTCCTTACAACTCTTTCAAAACATTAAAGCAATAAAAAACAGGGGTCATCGGAGTTGTATTTTGGTACAATGCTTCGAAATTTCACACCACGTGCGTTTTCGTTCTTGTAAAATCTGAACTCTATAAGGACAAGGTTTACTCATGCGCTGTTCTGACTACCGCTGTTGCGTATTCTATTGGGGGCATCTACTGATTTTGCTTACAGTCTTTGCAGAGGAGAAACAATTACGTGCGCGTCCAATTTACGCGTTGCATGTATTGTCTTTCCCGTTAAGTAAAACGTTTGGCTGACTTAAAATGCCGCCTTCTGGACACACTTTTCAACATGACGAGACAAACCGAACTGGCATAAAACAAAACCATAGAGGATAATGTGTAGTTAATCATTTTAGTAGTCTAGTTTATTGTTTTTGTAGTTGTGCTTTGGGTCGTTGCTCTTCCGATCCCTGTCAAGATCGACCGCAGTCCACAAGCAAGTATTCCCTTTAAAACCTACTTATAAAGCGTAGGAATTATTGTTTTCTTGAAAATATGAAGTTTGATAAGCATTTTACAGTGTATGTAGAGTCAAAAAACATGAATTCGACTTAGAACAGGCCAAACAAAAGTAACCTTACCTAAAAGTAAACTGTTGTTTATCTCACGCGTATAAAGTCGAGTGGAATGCGCGCGCGCGATTGATTCCGTACGCTAGAAAACTAGTACGATCCACCGTAATTTATGGGGACTTCCAAGATTGGAACAAACGATTTTGCGAATTAATCCAGCAAAATTGGTTATTAAATTAATTTTGCAATGGAAATCTTCCAGGTGGGTATGAATGTGATCCGTGCGCTGAAGAGATTAAAGTTCTTAGCAGCAAAGATCGAGCCGCTGGCTTCCAGACTCTGACAAACAAATCGGACGAACTAAAAAAGTGGAAAAGGACCTGGTACCGATTTACTGGTGAGGCTGGAGACAAGATGGACACTGCGTGAGTACTTGCTCAGTTAGTTATATGAAGTCTCATTCATAGCGACCCACAGTAGGTACTCGTTTTCCCTGTAGATTGTAATTCAGAACTGAAACTACGAGGGCGTAGCCACCTGTACGCTGTGTATGCACGTGCGTACCTGATAAAGTCGAAGGCATAAAATAAAACTTAATTAACATAATAAAAACGATAGTACGGAAAGAAAGCCAATAATTAAAAAAGGATATTTTAAAAAAGAACAGTTTGCCTGGGCTGATTGGCTTTAATAATGATAACCGGCTGACCGGTTCTTCAGGCAACAAACCAATGAAGGCCACAAAGAATTTTACAGCTTATTTGCGCTATTTCAAAGTCAGTACTGAAAAAAGTTCTGACTTACGGCATAACTCCTCTTGATTTGCGACTTTAAGGGGGCCGGATGAAGCGGCAGGGAGATTTTGAAAATTGTGCGAACCTCTGGAAAAATTCCCTCTCAACCTCGGCTGAAACGTTTCGGGACACTTTCTATCTTCAGTAGTTTTCGTGTGGGATCTGTTAATAGCGGAGCTCCACCCGCGCGCGAAGCGCGCGCGTGTGGACGGAGCTCCATAGCTAAGGAAATGTGGTAATCTACCCATCCGAGAAAATTTGGTAATCACGTGACCGTACGCCCGACCGTCCGTCCGCACCACAGGGAAATCAATGTTTTCTCTCACACTTTCTAGCTAGTTTGGGAGCCCAATAGAAAACTAATTGCACATCAATGTTGTGATCAATTGACAGCTGTCAAAACAGGATATCCGCTGACCAGTGTCACCTGACCGTACCGCGGGCTCAAGTGTCGACCCATCGAGGTCGAGTACTTTTTTGAAGTTATCCGCTGACAAATTACCAGTTCCAAATAATCGCAGGCTCAAGTCTATTTTTTCCAATGATTCATATGAAATATGTTGTGTTTATGTCACTATGGCCCCGCACTGTCAAGATTTTGATTTCAAACTGACCTCGGACGCGAAAATTCAGCCATTTTTTTAAAAATAAAGGAGGGGAAGACCTTTTCTTACCATGGTCACGCGTTGGTCACGCTATACGTCCAATTTTTGTACTCTGATTCTTCGTTTTCACGGTCACGCAATAAACACGGCAAAAAAAAATACACTTGAAACCGTCCAGTAGAAGAAGCCAAGAAAATGAAATGTTATAAAAGACTAATATATAAACAATTTGTCCAAATCTCAGGTCTTTGTGGCCGACAGTTTCTGAGTTAGTTGCCGAAACATTTCACGCACCTTTGTAGAGCTTTGTATGGAGACGCCATATTGGTGGACAGAAACTGTCCACCAATATGGCCGCCGGAAATCAACAAAAACATCTGGAGTTCACTTTTTCTATAAAAGCTCCTCCTTGTCACTCGAGAACTACCATACTTGCGCATAAACATATCTTCTAATACTTGAAATGGTTAAACTGCTGAAAATCAAGCGGAGAGACTTTTTCCAAGGAGATAGCATTCCTATTTTGGTGTCACGCACTGTGAAAACTCGGAAGTTCAAACTGCTGTGTTTTCGAAATGAAACATGCTTCGGGGCTGAAAACTTGTGCAAAGATTTATTTCCTATTAATCTTCAACCTAGTGTAAATGAGAATTCGTAAAACCTCGCTTTTTTGACTTTGCCATCTGATGACGTCACCGTGAAAACCATCAATTGGTCAAAATTTGACAGGTGAGTTCATGCGGAAAATTTATGCAGCATCTTGAAAGTTGTTTACTTTGACAGAGTTTTGTGTCAACTTGTGATGTTTTTAACTGTCTTTTTCCACTGGATGTACAAAATGAAATACAGCTGCTATCAAGAGTCTTCTGGTATCCATGGCTGGTTTGTTTATTGGGTTTTTGGTTGAGAAATGCGTCGCTTGTTAAAATTGGGTAATCCGATTTCGGATGGCATCGTTTTCGTCTTTCACCTTGCTCAATGCGTAAGAGGGTTTAAAAGTCTCAAGCAACTATGGCCTTCCTTGATATCTTTCAGGAACTGAATCTCGAATGGTAAGCCTGAGTAATTATTGTATTTGATGTTTGTTTTTGTTATATCTAATTTCATGAAGTCGAGCACAGTTTATGCGGCAAGTTTTTGCACGTTTGTTAAGATTTGAGTCAATGATCTGATCTAGTGTCAGGTTTGATATAAGCTTACAGGACTTTAAAAGGCCTTCAGATTTTTTTTTCACGGCAAATAGAAAACAAACGTTCCGAAGAATATTTAGTTATAAATTTGGCTGTAGAAAGAAAACTTTGAGTGATTTTCTTGCTTCGAGGAGTTCATCTTTGAAAAAAAAACAAACACCGGGAGGCCGGCTGAAAGTAAAACAAAATAAACTTAAGCTTAAGCTTTATTAAAGCTTAAAGACTCAGGATTTTTAGAGACACTTTAATACTTGTCTTCGTGAATGAAAATTGTTGTCTCTGTAAATGTTTTACCGAATTATATTTCTTTTATTGATTGTTAGTAGTCTCTCTTGCAATTTTAATCGCTTGTCCGTGGTGTTTGTTTTCATCGTTTATGAACATCGCTTGCAGGAGTACATAGAAATGTCCCACGTATCAAACGCTTTATAAGATTACACATCGTTATAGCTGGAACCATTAAATAACAAAAAGTAATGATAATAAATTCGTTATTATGTTGAGACGTATCTCCATTAAAGTTCATTCAAACACTCGACCACACTGACAGCTCGCACTAAAAATGAGAACCGGCTGGACGTATGGGTGATTTTGGCAATTTTTTGAACGGTTTCGCTAAAAGCCCACGATTGATCGTCCTGGACATTGAAAAATTGTGAAATGCCGTATTCTGTCCGAGGTCTGTATGATAAAAAGTACTGTTTCACCTCAGATGTGATGTATAAAAAGTATAAAAGGTTGGTTTACACACCCTCAGATTTGTTGGCAAGGATTTGTAAAGTAAACCTGTCGAACGCAAAAAAAATGCGGCCTGATTTGTTTTCCAAGAATTTGTTTTCGAGGCCTAATCTACCGTGATCAAGAGCCATTATGGCTCTTGAATGTGATAGAAGATGTTTGCCATTTTTTGGGTGTACATATATTTAGGTTATCAACTCGATGTAAGATCTTTCACTCTAAAATAACTTATCCTTTCCCTCAAAAGTCACATGAATGAGCCCTTAAGTTAACTGATTTGTGGATTACAAGTTCATTGTTTGATTTAAAATATAAATTTATTAATGGGAGCTTCGCTTTTAGCCCTGGCTAAATCTATATATTAAACAAAGAATTGGGCATTATTGGCAATTAACTGATTCCAAACAGCCGATGAGCTTCTGAAAATTTGGCATAATATACTGGGTTTGATTTAACACAATAGAGAAGAGAAGTATGACGTCACGTTACCATGGTAGCAAAATTTCTGGATCACAACAATAGACCTCTTTAGCTTGTATGTTTTGTTTTCCTAATACAGGTCATGTGATAACACTCTAGAGAGCTCTTTCTTTCAAACTTCGTCTTCTTCACGCGCATATCTGCGCATAATTTATGGAAAGACAAAGGGTCATGTTCCCCTGGGACCTAATCTCCCTCGCAGCCGTTTTTTGGATGTCATGCAACGCTCCCCCAAAACAGCGTTGCGTGACATCCTAAAAACGGCTGCGAGCAAGACTACCTGGGACCTTCATTAGGAAAAAAAAACATACAAGCTAAAGAGTTCTATAAGGAGCTTAAGGAACGACGACGGTAACGACAACAAGAACGGCAAAAAAAGAAATAGGTTTAGATTGGCAGAACAACAACTTTGCATGTGCATCACACCTTTTCTTAGCCTTCGTTGCACAACTGCGACATGAATATTCTTAATTTCACGCGCCCTCTTTGTGGAGGTAGGTGAGAACACAACAAAATTTCTTTTTCTAAACTTAGATATGGTCCTTTCGGATTCAACCCCAGAATATTTCCCCAACATCTGACAAATGAAATGAAACTAATAAGGTCGATGAAGTTTGAAACAATGCGAATCAGTCACTTTATGTTTGCGGGTTTGTTTCTTATCCAGAAATTTGCTACCATGGAAGCTTGAAGTAACGACTTCTCCTCTCTATTTAACGCAATTCTAATAGTTTAACTCTTTAAATGGAAATTGGACCTTTTCCTTTAGTGATTCAAATGGAACGAACTGCATAACTTCTCCTTCTTGCGGTGCTAAGTTTCCCGGTTATCTTGACGGTGATCATCCGGCTGATTTGAAAGTTGGAGAAAGTGTGAAGAGAACAGTGTGCTTCTCAGATGAACGGAATTGCTGCGTGAGGAGGCAGGAAATAGAGATCCTGAAATGCAAAGACTTCTTCATTTACAAGTTGCCGAAAGTTCCCCTCAGAAGAGCAAGATATTGTGGAAACAAAGGTAAGATGCCGGGAAATTTCTGAATTAACTTATCATTCAAATCAAAGGACCGCAAACGAATATGTCGCAGAAACTAGGATCTATAATGACCTGATCAGCAAAAAAAAACAAGTACAAATATTAAATTCTGCAAGCAGAATACTGCAATGCTGATCGTACCACGTGAAAATTAACTTTGTAAGACATCAACAAGACACCGAAACAGCTGCCTATTGCTACAGTCCCGCTCTGTTTTCAGGGGCACCCAATGGACCTGTTCCTCTTAATATCTGTTCATCAGGCAATTTTTTGCTGGCTGGGATATTTGGAAAAAATAATATGTCCTTGGAAGGAAAGTGAAAGTGTTACTGGGAAATAGACAATTCAGGGTGTCTGAGGGGATTTGGTTCTTTGGTGTCTCGAATAGCTGGTATTTGCTATATGTCACTGACGGGCTGAATTTTTCCCTATGACCATACCCAAACTGGCCAGTAACTTCTAGACATACGATTGCTGGAAAAACGTCCCAGTAAGTCAGTTTGCAGGTTGTAGGCGCACCTTGCTGGCTGGGAACTCTTCCATCAGTCTAGCTGGGAGTGAGGAACAGATAAATCATTTTCCCAGCAATCTCTCAAAATGCTTATAATGATTTCAGAAAGCTTTGTTCATGCTTTATTGTTGTGCTTAGGTCTATTTCTCAAAACTTCCCGTTGGGTGCCCTGTGTTTTGGGTTCTTTTGGTGTCGTGTTGATGTCTTGCAAAGTTAATTTTCACGGAGTACGATCAAGATTGCAGTATTTTGCTTACGGAGCTTAATAGGTCTATTCAAATTGTAGTTAATTATAATAATTTTCTTTATGTTTAAGGTCAAAAGGAACCTGAAAAGTGCGACGAAAAGGAACTGCTGTTTGGTGAGACATAAATTAAAAAAAATAAAAATAATAAAAATAATTTTTGTGCATTTTCGAACACAGCACTTATTAAATACATCATGTAGTGTTGACTTTTTTGCTGTCCCTCGAAACGATCCGAAGAAATTCACACTCATTCCCGTGAGGTAAAGCGCCCAATAAGCGTGATCCAGTAAGCCAATGAGAAAGCTAGAAATGTATTTTACAAAGTATCCCTCTATTGCAAATGGAAGTAAGAAACCTACCGATGCAGAGCCCAATTCTAGACTTTACACCTTTGATCATATGCTTAAGGCTTATCTCCCGAATTGTATGCTAATTTGTAGGACTGTCCAAGAAATACGCTGCCAAATCATGTAAGGACATTCAAGAGAAACGTCAAGACGCCCCGTCTGGTGTATACTGGATTCAACCCGATGGTGATAACCCGGTCCAAGTTTACTGCGATCAGGAAACAGACGGTGGCGGCTGGACACTAGTGTACAGCTACACCTTCACAAACTTTAAGTAAGACACTTTGATTCGAATTTTATTGAATGCAGAGAACCACTGGCTCTGTTGAATGTTTTATCTATCGTGTTTTTACGCTAAATTATTTTTGCTCAAGCAAAATTTAAAAAGGATCAGTTAAAACATGATAAAGGGTAGGATAAAGCAAATGCCGCGTTCTGACTGGGTATTGGGGTAGCCGGGGGTACTTACTTATGTGGCCTTATATGGCCTCAACAGTTATGTAACCAGGAACACATATGTGAATAACATTTCAATAAGGTAATTAGACCTCACAAATTATGTTTTTTTTTTGCGCTTTAATGCATCGGCTTCAACAACATTCGGCTCACGTGGGTATATTCATCGCTCCCTTGTCAACATTCAGCGATCTGACCAATCAGTTCATGATACCAGAATCTGAATCCAAGCTCCCCCGGCTTTTTTTCTCCTCCAGTCCACTCTGTTTTCGCCCCCTCTACTTGGGAAACTTTTCTTCAATGCCCTCCCTCCCCAACTTTACAGGCTATGAGTCTAGCCGTTTTAATTTGACGTTTGGTCAGTAACACATATGTTAAGGTTTATGTTGACGATGTTGATGACTGTTTTTCCTCAGGTCTTTCATGTCCGGCTCCAACGCGGTCACGCCACGCCCAAACTGGCCAATCAACCCGATTTACGGAAACGTAATCATCTCTACCACCCCTCCAGTGAGCGAAACAGACTACAATGCCATGAACTTCAGCTACTGGAAAAACCTGGGTCGCGAGTTCATGGTCAAGTCTAACATTAACCATTGGATCTCTTGCAAGTAAGAATTCTCCACTTCGGAAACTGTAGGGAGAATGCCGTACAACCTTTGTGTGCAGTGATTTCTGGGAAGGACAAGTGTTAGTTATGATTGGTCGATAATATTCGAAGAAATCTTTAACCAAGCATAAGAAGTGCTTGTCCACCCAAACAATCCCAGAAACCTTTACGCCGATTCCCCTTATAGTCTTTGGAATGGAAAATTAGCGTTGGTTCTGCGAAATAATCTTATTATCTATTGTTCGTTTGTTTAACTGGTTTATTTTATTTTATTTTTACGTCGTACAATCAGTAAATTGTTTGCAGCACTAATTATAAGAAAGCATTGAGTCACTTTGGAAAACAAAAATTTAAGTTGATTACCTCAAATGAAAGTTTATTCAATAAAATAAATTTTCTACTGACCAATCCCTTGAGAGCTTGATCCCGTGAAGGTGACGCAGTAGAGTTGGTTAACAAAACAAAATGCTCTGGTTTATGAGCTGGGACTGGTGTATGTACTATTCTTCAGCACTGGACGAAAAAAATTGGATTTGCACAAATTTGCTCCTTGCAAATATGTTGCAAATACTGAGGAGTAAATATAGGGTGTAAATAATTAGGCAAATGTGGCATTTACCATGTTTGCCATATATTTCAGTATTTATATATTTGCGACATGTGCAAGGAGCAAATTTGTGCAAATCCATTTTTTCGTCCCGGCAGGTTTTCTTTAAAAGGTTCCTTCGGGGACTATTGTCTCTGCATTGTCTCTTGAAGGTGAGAGAACAGTGTCGTTTTCAAGACAAAGTCGTCGTTTTCATTATCCTTTAATTTCAGAGGCCATACCGATATTTTTCAATCGTCTTAAAAGTGGTTTTTCCCTTGTCCGATCGCTATAAAATTGTCACTAGTAATTGGCTATGGATTGAAATTTGTGAAAATGTAGTTTTAAGTAAAATCGATATTACTATGACAACAATAAACAATAAACTTTGAAATTGATAAAAGCCGAATTTTGTGTGATCTAGACCAGCTACTGAAAATCCAACCCTAGAAACTAAAAGTCTGGTGTTCTGCAAACAATCTCTGTAAGAAGTAAAAAATTCTGTATGTTTGAATTCGACTAAAACGAAAATATATTTCAAACCTTAAATTCTCAATAGCCGTGATAGATTATTTAATAAAAACGTTATAAATGAATAAAATTATTCTTATGTAGCGTCAGAATGCTGCTTAATATCATATTTTGATGCTAGGAAATTTTGGTGTATTTTCGTTCTTGCGATCTTAAAAACTAACCCGTTTTCTCACCACCCGTATAAGTGCAACTTCATTCAAAATTTGGACTTTTAGCGCTTTTTTGTACATCTCTGGAACGACTCCAACGAATTTTTTTTTAAATCTCTTCACATAATCTTCATAATGTATATAATAAGGTCTGAAACTTTCATTGAGATTGATTCACTGCAACATCTTAAGGATAAGTTTGTCTTGAAATTTCAAGGTGTTGCAGTAAATCAATCTCAATGAAAGTTTTAGACATTATTATATACATTATGAAGATTATGTGACGAGATTTTAGAAAAATTCTTTCGAGTCGTTTCAGAGATATATAAAAAAGGGGTGAGGGACTCAACAAAGTTTTGTACGGGGAGGCTTTGTCCCAAGGTCCAGCCCGTTATCCTTTTATACACCGTCATTGACGGGGTGCCAATGTCATATTCCTTGTATTGACAAATGGTACTCCTTTCACATACCTTGTTTAGAACTTTACATCCCCTTTAACTGCTGTAAAGGCGCTGTATTTCAAATATAAAAAGAAATCACAAAACCAGAACGTTTTCCCGACTTTTTCAAAACCATAAAAAATGCACCCGACAGCCCTTTTTATTTAGGTCATTTTACAGATCGAAATGAAAGATTTCGCTACCGTTTCATATACTTCAACCAGTGAAATCCCTATCCTTTCACATACCTTACGCCTGAAAAAGGTACCCCTTTCGGGCGGAGCCTCCCCGTAAATTCCATTATAGGGAGGGAGTACCACCTCGGGCAGCCAGTAAAGCTTTTCGACTTCATGTATTGTAGCTTTATAGATGGTATTAAACCACTTTTGTGCTTTATAATTGCTCAAATGTGTCTATTAATTTACTGGGTTTTATTGGAAGTTTTGAGAAACCATTGGGTAATAAATTGTGACCATAGCCGACGTACGATACTATATCAGAACTTTACAGTCTCCCCAATTACTAACGCACTGAGCCTGAGCTATAAGACATGAGACTTTAATAAAGTTCATCATCATCATTATTATTATTATTATTATTATTATAAGGAAAACAACTACGACGGCAATGTAAACGCAAAGAAAAACAGTTCTTAAGCATCAGGAATTTTCTTTTAATACACTGCTCGAGAACTAATGAGCTGTATATTATAGTTTCGTTTCCTTTTGCTTTTATAGCTGTTCACTTTTTTAAGGCATTATATTGGTATATATTTCAGTGTCGAATGTAATCTGGTGATTATATATTTTGCCTTCGCATTCCTATGATCTGTGATGTCACACGGCTGAAATGTAAAAGTAAAACCAAATGCAGTAATGGCTTGCCCACTAGCTGAGTTTTTCCCGCGCTTGAATCTGGCTACCTAGACACATCTATTTGCTGCAACCCTGATTTGTTAAGCGGATTGGCTGTGAGTTTTATGATTGCTCAAAATTAAATTTTGATATCTTTAGAGAGACGATAAACAGAAAAAACAAACCATATAGTTGGCTTAACTATTTAAACCCTAATACCAGAAAGCAAAATGCTGCGCACTACTACGGGGAGAATTTGTTTTGGAATCAAAACCTGTTTTACTCGCAGATAATTCCCTTTTTTAGGTTTCAGCTTGGTGCAAGAACTTGTAAAACTTTTCCTTTCTTATGAACTTTTTGTTTTCCCAAGTTATATTGTGTTGACTTTTTTTTTCCCTTTGTTTACGTCACTCCTGAGTTTTACAGGTTCTTACATCGACCTTTGTTCTCACAACATTTTTTGGGATTAAGCAGTGTTATTTCTAAACTTTTTTGTCAGCACTACAAGAAAAATAATTAAATGCTGATTTGGCAGTAAACCACTATGTAAAATATTTCGAAAACTTCGAACAGTTTGCAGCAGTTTCATATGAAGATTGAGCAGTTACTATTTTGAATCTCTGATCTTCTCATAAGCATAGGCAACGTTAAGAACAGTGGCTTCATCAAACTTTCTTCCAACAATCATCATTCCAATTGGCAAGCCATCCCTGAAGCCTGCGTTGATTGTCAGAGCTGGGTGACCTGTGACGTTGAAGGACGAGGTACTCACGGCATTTTCCAAGGCTCGTTCGGCGTATTCTGCAAAGACATTAATTTAACTTTGACTAGATTGAAGAGAGCTGGGCGAATTAGTAAGATGATGAGGAACAACGTTTTTGCTCTTGATTCAGAGGAGCTCTGCCACAATTTTTAAGTCATTATTTGACAACGTTCAGAAAACCCCAAAATATTAGTTTTGAAAAAAATAAGAAAAGAACACCAAAGAATTAAAAGTAAACTAAAAAGTAATTAAGGATGATTACGGATTTTATATTTCATATCGCGAGTAGCGGCTTTAAAGAAGTAAAAATATTTTCAATTTGGCAAAAATACCGCAACCTTGAGTGCTTTAAGAAGCATTCTGAGCAGTTATAACTGATGGCTTTGCTTCAACAATTTAACGAAGATGTGATAAGTTTCGACTATTCGCCACTCAAGAAGAGAGAAGGGAACTGGAAACGTTACTGTGGATGCACCGGTCGGTTATTATTCAATAGCAGCAGTTACAACTGATGGCTTTGCTTCAACAATTTAACGAAGATGTGATAAGTTTCGACCATTCGCCACTCAAGAAGAGAGAAGGGAACTGGAAACGTTGCTGGGGACGCACCGGTCAGGTATTATTCAATAGGGAGCTTAAGCAGCGATTTTTTTTGAGCGACGCACGTCAACCGGAAGTGAGCCTTTTTCTCTTTTAATAAGCATTGACGCTACCACATTTTAATTGCTAAGTCTCTCAATTCTTATAGAGATGATCTGCACAAAATGTTGTTTTAAAATCACAGCTCTAGAGTGCAAAACGTCCACTTCTGGTTGACGTGCGTCGCTTCAAAACGTCGCTGCTTAAACTCCCTAATGCCCCCTTTTTTCCCTTTCCTTAATTACAGTTCCAGAAGTCTTTGCGAGAGTTAACTCGGCCCAGTTCCCTCTCGTTTCCAAAGTGGCGAATTGTACACACCGACATTGACGGTACGGATATGAACAGAGCTCCAACTTCTCTCATCTTTCTAAACTGTTGAGTCCGCAAGTAAAGGAGCATATTAACGAATGTCACAACATTACCTTTCAGGGAAGGATTCTGTTGCGGGAAGACTGGTGCCTTCTTTGGAATGGTGGGTAGAATTAACACGTCATACTTTTCAAAGGCCTCGTCGTAAGCTTTGCATAGAACTCGGCCTTGGTTCTGCGCCTTTCCGTAGAGAACGCTGTTGTAATCTTCATGCAAGTAATTTGCAATCAGCCTGATGAATTTGGTGGTTCTTGACAATTCATTTGAGTGGCATTTCAGACCACGGAAAACAGCCTCTTGAAGAGTTGTATCGTAGTACATTTGCGCTGAAGAACCAAAACCTGGATGGAAGCAAAAGGAAAATTGAATAGAGGTATGAATTTTTGACGAAAAGTGTTTTCAGTAATTCCCCAACAAGCCTCAAAGACATTTAGCCAAGGAAAATGATCATCATCTCTTAATTTTCTACTAAATAAACCTCCTGCACTAGTGGCCAACAAGGTTTAATATGCAAAACAACATTGCACGTGCAGCACATTTTGTACATTTTTTGCTGTCATGCATAATACACGACTACGACGCGAACTTTCCTAATTTCACGTTTTATGGGTAACGTGAACAAAAGACAACAATTTGATTTGATCAAGTAAGTTTATTTCAGAATTCAACTCCAGAAAAATTCAAAATCAAGGTTAACGCGGTGTATCAGTAATAGCGATAAAATTTGAAACAGCGCGAATTCACCGTTTTTAAACAGAGTTACTAGAGTTAAACAGGAGTTACTTAAAAGTAACTTCTCTTTCCTAAACTAACATAGCTTTAGCTTGACTGTTTGTAAGACAAAAGCTACTTACCAGCTCCTTTCAGCATCATTCGATCACCTCCCATGTGAAAAATTGCTTCAAAGATCCCATGTCCTTGTATAGAAAGGAGAAATAATACGAACGATTCTTTAATGAGCACGACGAATATTCGTTTCCGACAGAAATTTTAAGTTTTCGCCTTTACCTGAAATACGTTTTAGCCGTGATCACCGCCTAAAAGCCGAGGTTCAACAGCCTCGTTCCCAAGCGAGTTCGCGCTACCCGAGTGAACGGAGGAGACTTGGACCCGTTTAAACCTCTTTTTTGCTACCATGGATATTATCCATGTTGCTACGCAACCTATCTTTGCAAGAAAAACTACAAGCTTTTGGGCAAGTACTTTGCAAACAATAACTAAAATAAATAAATAAATAAATAAAATAAAATTTCAGTTACCATCTGAATGCATTGGGATTGAAACTTCCTCGACGACTGCGCCGCATTTACTGCTCAGCTGTCCAGCGGCTTCCTTCACCATCTTGTCAACATCAGGTTCGGAGATCTCCAAACCAAACCCTTCTTTTAAGACTCCTAGCTTCAGGTTTTCTATTTTTCCTGTCAGCTAACAAAGACAAATTAACAGGGTAGAAAGTTGGTGCTATATTATGACACAAAAAAGAAACACGAAGATAATGCTAGGACACAGAGAATGAAGTTACTAAGGATTCTTTTCTAGTGGAAAGTGCACTTAGCTTATCCAGCTAATAAATACATCAATTCGACTTTTCAGGATAGTTTCTATACCATTATATTTTCCATTTATAAAGAATTACCTATCTGTTTTGAATAGAGATGTCTTAATATTTAAAATACTCTAACTTAAAAGAGCTTAAAATGAGATAGATCAAACATCGATTAACCTGAAGATTGGTAAACTCAGTCTTACACCAGTTGTTATTGGTTGCGGTCACATCTACGACGTAACTAAAGTTTAACTTAAGTTAGTGTCAAGTTACGTGGTGTCATACCTAACTGTAGTTAGTGCTTTCGGTCGACATTGCGGTCACACCACGCAGTTAACAACAGTTAGTTCTAATCAGCCTATGTAAATTTTTTGTTTGTTGTTTTTGGTTTCCCCCTCGCTTCACGCTTGTTTTTTATTTTGCATGTTTATATATGCTTATCTAACACGTGCGAAAAGAAGTGTCACATTCTGATTGGTTGTTTGTTTGTAAACTAACCCACGAACCCTGCTTGGGCATAACTATAGTTAGTCCGTATGGTTTTGGATCACCAAGGCGTAAATTTTCTAACTATAGTTAGAGCGAAGAGAGAAGCGGTCACATTACCGAAATAGCTAACTATAGTAGTTATCCCGTCTTAACTATAGTTAGTATCCCAGATGTGACGGCAGCCATTATTTCATGTAAGCTTTATGAGTAAGACTGAACTGTATACCAAAGCGTCCTCGCCGGTAGTGATTATTACGATTTATGTTCATTTAAGAGTAGTTGTAGTTTTATTTTGCGTTCAGTAGAAAAAGGAGTAGATAATTGCAAATTAAAAAGAACTTACCAGAGCAGTGTACTCTGGTACTTTAAGGTCTCGTGGCTGTCTCGGGTCCAGTCCGTCATCATATCCCGCCAATGCCTAGAGAGATTGACATTCTTTTAGCTGAGGCGTAGCATTAGCAAAACAAAGCAAAGCCAAGCCCTCCGCAGACCCAGAGTCTGATGTAGCCTCCTAGTGGTGCTACTTATGCACAATTTGAATCAGAACAACCTTATCAAGTCACCCTGCGAGCAGAGCCTCCTTTTCTTGACAGAGAAGGAGATAAGGAGGATCTTCCTGAACCGCGTCTTTGAAGTCGCCGCAGCTCGAACTTCTGGACTAGTCAATCTTGCTTCTCTTGTCAAACTGGTTTTTCGAGTGCGAGCATCCGTTTGTTGATAAAGTGATGATCATACCTGAGGCCGCTGTGCTAAGCGCACGGCTATGTATAGTAGGCCCGGTTTTGAAACTGCATCCTAGCAACATGTAGGACATGCTCAACCCATCCTCGGAGACCCAGGGGCAGATAGCGGGGAGTTCTTTACTTTTATTCGCGCCATTTTTTCCACCCGTCTAGACTTTCCCTTGCCCCCTCTATCTGCCCCTGGGTCTCCGAGGATGTGCTCAAACAAGATTTTACTCCATTCATTATTCACATCAGGTTAAACACCTTGTTGGAGAGCATAGGACGCAGAAGTAACGTCACTTAAACGTGCACAGTTAATGCCCTTTCTTTTCAAGGTCCCTCTACCGGCGTTGCTTCAAGGTGTTTTACGTTTGTACGTTGTGACTGTTTAGCTGCCCTGGGAACGAGATTGTCCATTGTTAAAAGAAAAGCGATATCTTTTATCTTTTGCAACAAGAATCATGTTTCCGAACGTCTAACGATCTAAGACAAACGAAACTCTAAGTAATTACCTCTAGCATCAAAGCTGTGTCGTAAACAGTCCTGGCCATGGGTCCCGTATGATCTAAAGTGAACTCCATTGGCAAAATGCCCGTATATGGCACCAGTCCATAGGTGGGTTTCAATCCCACAATGCCACACGCGGCAGAAGGGATCCTTATGGAGCCTCCTTGGTCTCCACCGAGTGCCATGTCAACTTGTCCTCCGGCCACCTTTAGAATGTCCACAAAAAGACCTAGTTACGTCGTTTGAACTGATTTTAAAATAGTCATTACTTTCTACTAATGAAGAGTATTTGATCTAAACTTCTGTCAAATTCCAGCATCGTGGTAACTTTACACATATATCGGTTTCTTCTGTACCTACCTAGGAACAGATTACGTACTACAACAGAAACAATACAACCAAACAATAAAGCCCGCGGGAGAGCTCTATGGTTTGGTTCCTTTGTTTCATTTGTGATGACGGTATCTGCAGACAGACCCCATATGCTGGACAACCCATATCTTAGAAAAAAAGCACTCGGCTTCTTTATATACCGTGACCTCTTTGGTAAGCCCCCCTCTCTTTTTAAGACCCCCCTTTAAAGTAGCAGGAAAAGATGGGTCCTTGAGATTATAATTAAAGTGATTGCGGTATCTCCTCACCAAGGCAGCACATCCAGAAGAAGAACCTCCAGCCATCCTTGTTTTATCGTGCGGATTAACCACAGGCCCCGTAGCAGCAGTGAAACTTGCGCCAGAGCAACACAGGTTCTCGCACACAGCTTTGCCGAGTATACGTCCTCCAGCATCCAATATCCGGGACACTACGGTGGCGTCAATATCCGGGACAAAGCCTTCCAATATCCGGGAACCATTCATCATTGGTACACCTGCTACACACGTGTTATCCTTAATGGCAACTGTCTTACCTTCTAGTTTACCACTCGGTGCTCCTTTGATGTCACAGCACCAGTACCTATTGATAGATACGACACGGGCGTTTCATGAATTCATTCTTCTTGGTACATATTTCTATTGTAAAGGTGTTTCCTCTATTAAGCTTGGCATTATAGTATACGTTGTTTATCCCAGGTCGATAATGCAACTCATGCTTTTTTCCCCTTTTTGTGCCCCTATACCTGGGGGCACTCAACAAAGGCATACGAGAAGGCTCCGCCCCAAGGTCCAACCCCTTAACCTTTTTCCTCTAGCCCCTGTCTGAAGGTTTGTTTTCAAACCCGAAATATTGGGCAAATTTGTTTAAATATATGTTTGTTGTTTTATTCTTTTGTTTACTTCTTCATGGCCTTGCCGTAAGGATCAGTTTTCAACAAGTTATTATTGTACTGATCCAGGTCTACAACTGGGAGATCCGGCACGACTCAAGGGTTTGTCGCTGTGGACTTGATGATATTTTACCCATTACATACCATTTTAGACAGAAAAGGTCGTCCTTTCGAACGACGGTGACGGCCACGAAAACGTCGCTTAAAAACGAATTTGCGTTCTTTCAATCTCTTTCTCGATTATTCCAACTCATTTACTTTGTCAAATTCAAGCGAACTCTTTTTGAGCCGAATACCTAAGAACTTAATTCAAGTTCAGAAAGAGAAACAAAATTTAGCCGTCGCTTGTTTACATGTTCCATAAAACGTGAAATTAGGTATTTTCCCGTCATAGTCGTGCAGTGACGGCAAAGAAATGCACAAAAAAGCGTGATGCACGTGCAGAGTTGTTGTTTTGCCTATTCAACCTATTGCTTTTTTTAAATGCACAGTCACTTAAATACGAATACTGATAAATTAGTAAACCAGAAAGTTTTTCTGTCCTTTTCACAGCCATAAGACGTGACTGTTCAGCTCTTTTAGGTCCTTTCACAGGCTGTAATGACATATTTCCCTACCCTTTCATCTTGTTCAACTCGTGAAATCCCTACCCTTTCGTATGCCTGAAGCCTGAAAAAGGTACCCCATTTGGGCGGAGCCTCCCTGTTTTGGCCCCTGTAGGGGGTAACCCCCCCCCCCCACCCTCCTTGCTGCCATACTACTAGTTTTGTTTAAACTGGATGCTACCATTACAACTCTTCAAATTTGTCGCTGCTAGCCTGCAGTTCTGTTTTTTTTTTTATAATTTAACTCCAAGTTGCTTCTCCTAGGATCAGTAGTGGGCTAACTGTGGCAGTTGTCTCTCACCAAGCATTGTAAGGGTTTTCCTCTGCCGATGGCCTGTAACCTGGCGTCCGTGGATACTTGACTGGGAGCTTGGGATCTGGTAACTCGTACAACCGCTGGTATGTATCACCCAGAGCCTTAGATATAGCCCCTGCAAGAAATAGCGGTTTTAAAATAGCAACTGTATAACGACAGAAGGGACAAAGATTATTTTTCAGGAGGCTTCACTCCAGTTTTCTGCTAAAGAACAGTCCAATTTACCTCTGTATTCTATCAGCTCACTCTCTTCCATGTCTAGTCCCAGGCCCCGCGCAATCTCGGACAGGCGCTGAAGGGTTGGTGCTCGAAGAACGGGCTCCCTGTAAAGCTTTTCTGTGGAGGGAAGAGAGAACTGATGCTAGACGCACCAAAATGTCAGAAAGGTAATCTTTGGATTCCGGCAGAACAATACATATTATAACGTGTTTCAAGTTACCTTTCCTTCGCCCTAGCGACAAGCTTAAAAGAATTGAACTTAAACCAGGTCAAGAGTGTCTCAGTACTCCATACTTTAATACCTCAAGTCAACTCAACACTGATGTGTAGCAATAAGCCAATAACACCTGGTCCTATATTGAAAACGTTGTAAATTTACTATTCTTGATAGGCCTTTCCCTGATACAGCTGAGCCGAAAGTAAAAGTCAAAACCCATCTTCATGTTTGCAGGTCCCTTAAACAGGTCCAAAACGAAGGCCATCACCAATACGGTTTTTCAGCCGCGGAAATACACGAAAGACAAACCAAAAATGAAGTGTTTTATAAGGCAGTCGTCGTCCCTGTGAAGGTGATATATGGGCCATCGTTTTGAAGACATCAGCTTTTTTCGCCCAGCGGCAAATTTAGACATTATGAGGCAACTTCCCTGGGGGAAGGTGGGGGGGGGGGTTAATCCCGTGTGAAAGAGGGTGGGGATGCAAGGATAGGCGTGTATTAGGCTTAAGTTTCATTTACCCCATCCCCCTAAAAGTCATTTGCCCCGTAAAAGTCTATCCGAAATTCCAACCTTTCCATCTTCCTTTTACATTGTATGCTTGTTCACCCACAGCCCAATTGATAATATTGGTAAAACAACATTTCTGCCCTTAGCACCCCTAAACACGCCCGTTTCGTACGGAAGTACCCCCCCCCCCCCTCCCCACCCGGGGGAGGCGAAGTACCAGGCACAACATTTTAAATCCTCATTTGCTCTTTCTGGAAACTAGCGATCGCAAAGGTGTAAAATTGCTGGCAAGTACTAGATATTGTTTTCATAAGTAACACTCGAGTGAAAGAGGACGGGATTTTCAGTAGAGAAATAAATAACCAGATGAAAAACACCTCGCGTGCGTGAAATCACGTTTTGGTGTGATGGTCTGATCTACTTTGACTAGACTATAAAACTTTGAATAAAGCTAACTCAGCTCTTAAACTATTTTCAAAACTGATTTTTAACTTCCTTATTTAAATATTCGACTGTAACATATTTTCGAAGAGACAGAAGGGTGTCTTTGAAACGCAATGCACCAAAAAGGGCAAATGCAAACGACACAGGTCCTGATATAAAAGACACCTTTTAGAGAAATTGAAATTTAAAGAGATGTTTACCCAAATTATCCTAAGAATTAACCCACATACCTTGTTCTTTATGATCGGCCATCTCGACACTTTAAAACGCTTGAATCGTGAACTGACGCCGAAGAATAAGGAATAAGCTATCTGAAAGGGCTCCTATATGGCACTTATTCACAAATAGTCACGCAACCTACGCGTGTAACATTTTAAACTCGTCAACACGTGCAGTGTCACACCTGCATTGCCCGCCCGCGCGCCCGGGGGCTCGCGCGACTGGAAAGCAAAAAAAACCGCGAGGCATAGTGGGAAAAGGTGGTTCTCACTACAGCGCAAAGGACGGTGGCAGCAGTAATTCAGCGTGACGCTTTGGTGAACCGTTAAGGGATTGTACGGCTGTTGTTTCAAGTGTTGTAGGTTGGTAGGTGAGGGTATGGAAATGCTAGGGTTATGGGCTCCTGATGATGTGATTAATAAACGGACCCAGATATACCATGAAGACAAACGTGTCCACGGCTCGCCTTATTTTGTATTCGATGTTCCATTGTGGCATTGGCGGCGTTAACAATCGCGCCATGTAAGGAAGGGGAGGATTCCATCCTGTGGATTCAGGATTTCCGGTACTGGATTCCGGATTCTTTGAGCTGTATTCCGGATTCCAAAACCGAGGATTGTGGATTCCACAGTAAACACTAGATAGATTCCGGATTCCACAAGCAGACATTTCCCGGATTTCGGAATCCGGATTCCCTTGAAATGGGGCGTGTAATAAGGTTCGAAGCTTTTTAAGTATGTTAGGTTTTAAACTTGCATTTCCACACTTTTTTATCTTTTATTTGACACCTTATCTATTCCAGAAGGTCATAGGGTGACTTTAGTGGAAAGAACGGATCAATTTAGGTTTTTGGGAAACTGCCCACCTACCCCTCCCCTAACCCAACATTTTGCCCTAAGTGAGACACAAGCGTTAACATTGAGTTAGGGGAGGGGTAGGTGGGCAGTTTACCAGAAACCTTAATTGATCTGAAAGAACTTTTTTTTTTTTTCAAAGTCCCTTTTGCCACTGACGACAAAAACTCACTTAGATATATGTTCATGTGCATGAACATATATGGAAACCCACGTGTCAACGTGTCAAAAACTTGTAGAAAACAAGTCAAAAATCTGTTAAAGACTTCGTCGAGTTGCTACATGCAATCTGCACTATAATGTCAAAGGATTTTAAAAGGTGTACTTTTTATTTCAATAAATGCCAGAAGACGGCCATTTCATTTATATAATAGATAGCTACTCTTTTGAGTCTCTTATTTTGTGACGTAAGTCTTAATAGGATATCTGATCTTATGACGTAGACATGCATCTATCTCTGATCTTCTCATAAGCATAGGCGACATTAAGAACAGTGGCTTCATCAAACTTTCTGCCCACGATCATCATTCCAACCGGTAAACCATCGCTAAATCCTGCGTTGATCGTCAGAGCCGGGTGACCGCTCACATTGAAGGGAGAGCAACTCACCACGTTTTCCATTCCTCGTTCCATGTATTCTGTCAAAACAGCAAGTAAACTTCATGGATTATTTTGCTTGGGATTGGAATCAACTATTTAAATGAGCAAGGTAATTATTACAGGTAATTAAAACTTTTTGGATTATTTTGCTTGGGATTGGAATCAACTATTTAAATGAGCAAGTTAATTACAGGTGATTAAGCACTTTACGTCCCAAGAGTGATCAACATAAATTTTGTCAGTACTAATTACCACACAATCAAGGAACTGGAATCCTGTGGTCTTTTCTAAAACTCTCTCAACTAGTTCTTTAAGGAAATGTATGGAGCTCAGTTTAGAGAATTTGTATGTGGACATTGGGGATTAAAGCCGGTTAATTAACATGTTTTTAGCGAACAAGTTTGATATCGCACTGCCCTTCCGCGACGGCGTCCATCCTGAACTAAATCGATCACGTGACCAGCAAGGTTGATAATATGTTTCATCTGCGAAGCATGCCGGGAAGGGTGTTACATTCCCATTTGGCTCAAAGGATTAAAAAGGACAAATTTAAGGCTAAATTTTAAATACAAATACAGAAACTGAGGAGTCACAGCTCCTATAAAATCTTAAGACTCCTTTCAAATGTGCAGCAATATACCCTAATCAGCTCTCGAAAAAAAGAGCTTGAATTCGAACTTAATAAGTTGTTGGTTTTGTTTCAGTAATTTAATCGAAGATGTGGTAGGTTTTGACTCGTTCCCGTAAGGCTTTCGCCCAGGCCATCACGGTCAATTCGTCTGGTGACGTCACCGAGATGATACCAAAGGCATTTAGCGTGAGGCAAAAATTTTAAGGTCTACGAACTAGGCAAGATCAGCTTAAGTTGTTCAGTTCTTCCACAGTGCGGTTATGGACAGAGCTCAATCACAAATACACGTGAATATAAACGCAAAGAAATCGGAGGTCAGCGGTCGCAAAGTACTAAAGGTATGTTTATTTATAAGTCCTTACCTTTCAGGGAAGGATTCTCTTGCGGGAAGACTGGTGCTTTCTTTGGAATAGTGGGCAGAATTAACACGTCATAAGTTTCGAGGGCCTTGTCATAAGCTTTGCATAGAACTCGGCCCAGGTTCTGCGCCTTTCCGTAGAAAACGCCGTTGTACTCTTCATGCAAATACTTTGCAATCAGCCTGATAAATTTAGTGGTTCTTGATAATTCATTCGAGTGGCATTTCAGACCACGGAAAACAGCCTCTTGAAGAGTTGTATCGTAGTACATTTCCGCGGAATGACCGAAACCTGTAAAAGTTGAAGTCGACAGTACTCTGTGTTAAATTTACAAGTTAAATTTACACAAACAGGAGAGAAGTCAAAACAAGGATGTGAAGACATCGGGGATCGAACTTAAGACCTTTCGCACTCAAGGCCGTGTACTAACCAACTGTGCCATCGTACGTCAAAGAACTAGAACTCAGTAAAATCAATTACTCAATGCAGCGGCAATTGTACCATAATAATAAACAACTTGAACTTTTGTCAATCAAGGGAACTTATGGATTTGGGGCCAAGTGCAGACAACAAGCTCACAAACTTTGAATCAGTGTTTATTTTACCTACCAGCTCCTTCTAGCATCATTCGATCGCCCCCAGCTTGCAAAATGCCGGCAAAGATCCCAAAACCTGCATAGAAATAAGTATAAAAACATTTTTCGACAGAATTATAAATAATTTTCATAATTTAATCTAACTTGTCAGCTTTATGGTCCGTGAATCTTTTTAATTTGGTGATAATTGAAGCAGGTTTCATTGTTCAGAAGATTGTGGGGTATGACGAGAGTTTGCCTTCAAAAAAACCGATTAACCTGAGTGAGGCCCCCTTTTCATTCTCATTAAACCATCTACTCATATCTTTGAGGTTATCACCATCATCATAATGACGATCATCAAAATACTGAGAATGAAATGGAATTGTGTAATTCAACGGCAGGTTATACACCTTCACAGATGATTGAAAACAGTGAAGGACCTAGGAAAGATCCTTGTGGTCCTTGATATTTTAAGACTTGTCATTCTGAGCGTGACGTTTGGACTCAGCAATTTCTCACACTCTTTTATATTTTGATACAATATCATCTTATCATCCTAACAGATATATCCTCTATCTACTTTTCCTACTAAATAAACCTATCTTTACAAACCCCCACAGGCTATCTGACAGGTACTAAGTATTATAAATTCAATTACCATCCGAATGCATTGGGACTGAAACTTCCTCGACGACTGCGCCGCATTCACTGCTCAGCTGTCCAGCGGCCTCCTTCACCATCTTGTCAACATCCGGCTCGGAGCTTTCCAAACCAAACCCTTCTTTCAAGATTCCTATCTTCTTACCCACTATCTCCCCTGTGAGCTGATCAAAGTTAAATAAACAGCGATAAACCAATCACCAGCAATCACGGTAAGTAAATCGATAAGAGCTTAAGCAAGGATGAGGGCGACGGCAACGAGAATGGCTCAAAAAACAATAGGTTTAGAGAAGCAAACCAACAATCTTGCAAGTGTACAGTATCACGCTTATTTGCACATTTTTTTGGCGTCATTGCACGAATGCAAAATGAAAATGCCTCATTTAAGGTTTTGTGGAGGACGTGAAACAAGACAGGGACTTCACGTTTCTTTTCCTGAACTTCGATGCAGTCCTTTAGAATCTAACTTCAAAAAATAATTCGTCAACATTTGACCAACTGTGAACGAGATAGAATAAGAGTGATAAATTTCAGATCGCTAAAGAGGACAAAATTAGGGAAGTTATTTAAAGGAACTGTTTCTCACGATAGAGCCGTTGTGCGAAGTCAACAAAGATAGACTAATAGAACGAATACAAGAAGATATCAAGTTCAGAACAAAACAATTCTTACTAGGGCAGTGTACTCTGGTACTTTAAGGTCGCGTGGCTGTCTCGGGTCCAGTCCGTCATCATATCCCGCCAGAACCTAAAGAATATTGAGGATAACGTATTTAATTATCAAAACATTGGAAAACTGCTATACGACCTTTATTTGCTAAACGCTTTCTTAACTCTCTATGTTGCCCTTTATTATATTATCTGCTTATGCAACAAATTACCGGTTTGTGTTGCCAAACTAAAATAAAGGTTGAAGGTTGATAGTTTCACTACTTTATCTACAACAGAAAACATTTATGAAAAACTGACGTTAAAAGAGAAGAGATTTAGTTCTTTTGGTTTGAAAATGATCTTAGTGTTAACTTAGAATGTGTCACGTTCTTGCGGCTAGAAGTAACACGCTTTCTTTTTCAATTAAGTCTTTAAAAGTAGGTGTTTGTTAGTCTAAGAACAATTGTATTCTGTAAGTAATTACCTCTAGCATCAAAGCTGTGTCGTAGACAGTCCTGGCCATGGGTCCCGTATGATCTAAAGTGAACTCTATTGGCATGATGCCCGTATATGGCACCAGTCCGTACGTGGGTTTCAATCCCACAATACCACATGCGGCAGCAGGGATCCTTATGGAGCCTCCTTGGTCGCCCCCGGTTGCCATGTCAACCTGTCCTCCAGCCACCTTAATGAAAAATAGAAACACTTAGTTACTTCAGTGAAACTGATAATAGAGACCGTCGGCGGATACAAAGGAGGGTCCTGGAGAGTCAGAGCGCTCTTGACGAAAAAGGGTCATGTACTGACGTCCATGGATATTCAACTGGAGCTTGGGGTCTGGCATGTACGCACGCATATTCTGTCCTCAAGGACGCAACAAAGCAGTCAACAATAAAGACTTTTAAAATGACTGCTCCCGAGGGAAACATTTAATTTTGTTTCCACTGTTTTCCTAGGGACCAGTGTTTAAGTAATTTGTTATATAGCTGGAATGTTTGAAGCTGGAAATTCTGTAAACCTCGCTGTAACGGCGGTCGTCGGTCAACATTCGCGGGGTAACAGTGAATTTTGAGCTCTTATATTCAACTTATCAACATCTCTCCTCACCAAAGCAGCCGACCCAGAAGACGAACCCCCAGCCATCCTCGTTTTGTTGTGTGGATTCACCACAGGCCCCGTAGCGGCAGTAAAACTACCGCCATCACAGCACAAGTTTTCACAAACAGCTTTGCCGACTATATGTCCACCAGCATCCAATATCCGGGACACTACCGTGGCGTCAATATCCGGGACAAAGCCATCCAATATCCGGGAACCATTCATCATGGGTACGCCTGCAACACACGTGTTATCCTTGATGGCAACTGTCTTGCCTTGTAGTTTACCACTTGGTGCTCCTTTGATGTCGCAGCGCCAGTACCTGATAAACAACACAGTCAAAATAAAAGTTGAACTGACGAGTTCCAAGGAAAATCTGGTTTCTCCACCGATTTATACCTCTTCTTGAACTAGCACGAGACTCGACCGTTTAATTCATGAAGTCATACTCCCTGAATAGCCCATTATGTCCGTCTTGTTTATAACCAACATTATCTTATAAAGAAAGAATGTCGAAAGAACAAATGTTCTTACATTTCACTCTTCTACGATATAGCCTTGTCAAACGGGATGCTCCTTTCCAAGTCCATTAAAAAAAGAAACTTTTAAATATGTATCCTAAATTTTAGAGTAATTTTCAAATAGATTTAGGTGCTATTTCGAGGCTTTATATTTCTTTAGATTTGTGACTTGTAGTTAATCTCATCATTTCATAATCAGTATTTATAGTGGGACGTAGCTCCACCTAGCGGACTCTTCCGTCGGTTTGGAATATTATTCTAGTGAACTCTGATTGACATTTGTCCCTCACCAAGCATTGTAAGGATTTTCCTCTGCTGACGGTTTGTAACCTGGCGTCCGTGGATACTTGACTGGGAGCTTGGGATCTGGTAACTCGTACAACCGCTGGTATGTATCACCCAGAGTCTTGGAAATAGCCTCTGTAATAAGAGGCTTTTGTTAGCAACAATCAAAGTTCTATTTAACACGAGAAAGATCACTGAGCTTAGATATAAGACATTCTATGTATCCACTTTTAATGAATGCATTAAAAGGTTCCGTTAATCCAGTCAGGTTTTGCCAAACGGCTCCCCACCCACCCCACCCCCTCTCTCTGTCACGTAACACTGGTGTTGCTACATGAAAGTACGACTAAGGGGGTAGAATTGAGCTACCGTTTCTAATACACCGATCCTGTTCGTACAAGCAATCTTACCTCGGTACTCCATCAGCTCACTCTCTTCCATGTCAAACCCCAGACCTCGCGCAATTTCAGATAGATGCTGGAGGGTTGGTGCTCGAACAGCAGGCTCTTTGTAAAGCTTCTCTGTGGATCGAATTAAGGAAAGGAAAAATTAAGCCTAATATGCAGGACGGTGGTTATAAAAATGATCCAAGGATTTCTTAGAATAGATTAACTAACATTTCAACAAAGCTGTTCTTCATAATTTCCTCTTAAAAAGAACTTGTGAAAATTAGCGAGAGTCATGTGCGCGTCAAAAATTCCGACTCAACATTGATGTGCTGGAAAAACGTCTTTTCCTAGGATTAAATAGGTTGTAAATTCTTAATTTTGGTAGGTCTTTCAGTGGACTACTGCTGCTGTTCGTGTTAAAGTTTGGAGACTGGCACTGTATAGATATATTTCTCGGAGGGGGTACCCCTTTAAATTTACTTTGGGGATGTGCCGCGGAGTCTTTGAGACTCTGAACCTGTTTCAGACCGGCAATAAGTTTAAAATATAGGAATCCTATTCTGGACAATAAGCCAAAAAAATATGTACAAATTATTATTTTCAGGCATTTTGTTTGGCGAGGTCAGGGGAGCCTGGTTTCACTCCTAAAAGAATAATCAGGAATTAAGGGGAAAAACTGACTCTCTTCCAGAGTTAAACTGAAGTAAAATGAACCCGGGAACTGAGGGTAAGTTTTTCATCTTTCATTGCTCTTCCATTGTCAGAGAGGCAAAAAACCTCTGTTGAGTGGCACATACCCGTATAGCCCATAATGTATGGGGTACCCCGGCCGTCCCCCGGGTCTTTAGCGTACAGTTTGATCGCTGTGACCTTTTTGCCCGGGGGGCCCTGCCATATATGGGCTAGAAATGCATGTGCCGCTACGAAGGGTATGGTTTTCGAGCAGTTTACTCTGGGATAGGGTCTATAAATCAGAGATTTTGGGTCTAGAATAGGGTATTATTTTCCAGAAACTGATTAATTGTTGAATATTTTAGTCTAGACTAGGGAAAACGAGAATTGCCACTCAATAATATTAAAAAAATCAAATAGGCAAGTTTAAATTTATGCAAATCAACCTAAAAGCTACTCTAGGATAAGGGAGATTAGTCTAGTTTAGGGTAGAAAAATTCAGCTGGCCCCAGTTGTTCAAACGTTGGATAGCGCTATCCAACGTTTGAACAACCGCGGCCTGAACTAGCTTTGGTATGGCTAGGGGTTCCAGGGTCCCAGCGGCACATCCTCACCCAAAATTCCTAAAGTAGCCCCCAGCCCCCGGGCTCTGGTCCCAAAACGCTTTAGTAGAACTTGTAAAAACAGCAACGTTCTGGCACTGAATGAAAATACATTCGTTTAATTTTCACTGCAAATTTAAGAGCCTATACTGACGGCAGTCGAGATATATAGTGGCCTGAGCACTTCATATGATAAAGCAGCTGAATTAACTTCAGTACGAATATAGTAACAGGACTCTGGAAATTTTCGATCATAAGTGAATCGAATGATATGTCGCGTCGGCAACGGAGAGATCACACATAACTTATCAGAAGAAGCAGCTAAACAACAACGTTTGCTTCCATACATATGTAGGTGACAATCTCATCAGAATGGGCACGCGACTCCATTCAAAAGAAAATCAAAGAGATTTCAGCTCATAGTTTCACATTTTATTTACAAAAACTGCCAGGTTAATTTCTGATTCAGTTTATCTTCACAAAAGCTAAGTAAAAGTGATTTGATCGTCTTGTACAGACCGGACAAAAGACACAAAGGCTCAATTGGAAAATGTAAGAGCAAGATCGAGAGAAGTGTTTACGAATTTTCATCTAGATTAACTCACTTACCTTGTTCGTTGCCATCAGCCATATCTACAGCTTCAAAGCTGGGATTTTGATCTTAAGAAACAGATCAATGAATAGATTTGAACTGGAGATCTTGTATGTTTAAATGAAGGACACCTGTCGCGAGGCAGCGTGCATGACTATATAGAATATTCAGTCAGCAGGTCATAAATTCATTCCGGAAAGTCACGCAACAAAACCTCGTTCTGGGAACGAGTTATCTCAGGAACTTCCCATGACTGCACGGCGTGTTTTGTTGCTTTCACGTGAACGGTTTTACGGCGGTTTTGCCTCCTGCTTCATTCCGTGGCCCTGAGAATTTTTAAAACATGTATTGAACTCTTCGCTCGACTGTACCCTGATCTGAATTGCAGAGTACGTTCTGGGGGATTTTGTATTTACTATGGCCGGGCGCAGTGTTTACGGTATGTTGTACACTTTCATTGAACATTCTATTTATAAATATGATCGTCTAGATTGAACACGACCTCCTCGGGCCTCCTACCCTGGGTGCCAGAGACTTTTCTAGCGCGGTTTCCGGTTTCTGCCAAGTCTTTCGAAAATTCCCGCCGCACGCGAGAAAAACCTCTGGTACCCAGGGTACGGGCCTCCATGCGAAGAAAACGAGTTACTCTTTCTTATTTATATTACAGTACAAATCATGTGCTTTTGGACGACGTGAACTAGAGTTTCATTTCTTGAACCCTGCTAAAGTGCTTGAACCGTTTTGTGATGCTACTTGAAACGTCACACAATACTCATTCAAGCTTGGTTTGAAACTGGCGGTTTGTGACATTTTCAGAATGAAAGCAGACTGCACCCAGACCGCAGATTGTAAATTGTAAATTAATTAACACCGCAATTATCCCAATAATGGCTGAGTGACGACACTAAAAACGGCTGTGTAGCAGACTAATTCCCCCGGGCATTTGTCAGGGATTTGATTTGTCAGAAAGACCCAGAAAGCCTTTGCCCAAGGGTGGGACATTTGCCAATTCTTGTAGAAGCAGTTAACGTCGTCCTTTTGTCAATATTTCATTAAAAAATTTGCCTGTTTAGATAGCTGTAGATATTTATGCAAAGAATAGTTTTAATACCTATGCTTTAAAAAGATGTGTGGTTTTCGCCTCATCACTTCCCTACCCCACAGTATTTTTTGCAGAATTTCATTTTCTCTTCCATTGTCCAAAATACTCAATCCCAAGGGAGAAATTCTACGATCAAATCCAACAAAATTTTGTCGATTTTGATCAGCTATCTTACACAGAATTAATAATTAAATTGATGAATTCACAAAATTTTTCCGTAAATTCACATTTGTTGAAATTTGTCTCATTATGTAATGATTTACGTAATAATTTGTTATCAAGTCATGCTGATGACACTTGATTGACTACAGTCATCATTGCATTATCATTGTTATGATTTGTTTGTTTGTTTGTTTTTATATTAAAGCTTTTGCAATACTGTAACTACATAATTATAGTCATGCAAATAAAGCTTATGTTGTTGTTGTTGTTGTTGCATAGCATTCACCTAAGAAATTGCTCCCTGCCATTGATCAGCTCGCACATGGAAGAAAAACAATTATTAATGTATCAATTTGAATAGTGTAAAGGAAAAAAAAACTTTCTTTGTGCGTGAATGGTTGAGGCAGAAAGACCTAGAAAAGCTCTGCAAGATATTTGTAAGCTAATATACAAAACTTTGTGTATTGCAAGTTATTTGAGAATTAATATATTGATAAAAACATTTCCCAGATGAGAAAGTGCTCATGTAAAGCACGTCGGCGGTTTGTTAAACAACTTTGAAAAAAAGAAATGCGTTATTAAAATTCTACTTATAGTTCTGTCATTGAGATTAATCAGATTCAATGACTGTGATCTTTTTTGCTGTAATAATTATTATAACTAGCGTCTAGGAGTGATTTGCGTAGGGTGCTTCACGTTCGAGTTTGATCAGATTATTACAAACTTCCCATAAATATGGCATTTGCAGCTTATTTACTGGAAAATGCACTTTGTTGCCCCGAGGTGGGGCATTGGTAACCAGTATTTTTAAGCCCCACTGTGGGGCATTTGCAGCTTTTCCAAAACAAAATACAAATGCCTAACATGCCCGGGGGTGGTGGGGGGGGGGCGATGTTCACGCTTGGAATTGACTGAGCCATAAAGGCGACGTCATCAGAAATATTACTTAGTGTCCAGGCTTCATAAAAAAGTGAGAAAGCAGCCTGGGAACAAGGTTGATATTTACTGCACACATTGGCCTCATTTGCATGCTGGTGGCTCTTCTTCAGTGACTCCTTATCAACTCGTATCACTATATGCATTGACTTCAGGTTTTAGTCAGGGCTTCTGATATTTCGCGGAAAAAAAAGCAAAATTTCGCGGGATTTTCAGGGGGAAATTCGCGGAAAAATCGGCTAATTCCGCGGGATTTTCGCGGGAAAAAAGTCAAAATTCGCGGGAAAAACAGGCGATTTTCGGGATTTTCCCAGGAAAAAAGTCAAAATTCGCGGAGAAATCGGCTGATTTTGCGGGATTTTAGCGGAAAAACATTATCAACTGTCAACATTATGGTTAGTGCCCAGTTTTTCGCAACGTTCATCTAAAAACGCCTGGTAGTTTTGGGACGTTGTTTACTCGTTGCAGTGACGAAGTGTCAAGATAAATTTGGACGTTTGGGGTGAATAAAACAGGTCTAATAGCCAAGATAAGTATTAAATATGTTTTGCCGACATGTATTTGGAAATAGTTCTGGCGGATTTCGCGGTATTTCGCGTTTTTTGGGAATTTCGCGGGATTTCGCGGAAATACCTGAATTTCGCGGGTCCGCGACCGCGCGAAATATCAGAAGCCCTGTTTTAGTAGGATTCATTCTTCCTCTTCTCAGATTATTGTTATTCAATGATGACAAGAAGCCATGCCAACCTGGGGAGACTCCCATATAAAAGTGACAGGAATGCTCGTTAGAAAATTAAAATTGGTACAAGCTTAAACTGACCCCTGAAGGAGACCATACTAAAACAGACGTCACAACATTTTTTTTAAATTTCTTTATGCACAGCCCTAAGCGATAACTGAATAGGCAAATAGAGTGATTTTCCATCCCAAACACCCTAATTTAGACCAAAATCTGCAGTTAACACCCCTAAGTGATACTACAGCTTGTGGTCTGGGGTCTGCAGTCTGCAAATGTCATACACCATTTAACTAGGCAGTTGGTTACTGTTTGATGGATATTAAAATTCTACATCCATTAGACCACTTTAGCTTGTATGTTTTGTTTTTGAGCTATTTTGAAAAAATAGCTCATATGTCAGTGATGTGAGCGTATGTATCTTTGTGGCTTTGTATGTTGGGATGTTTGTTGCAAGAGCCAATAGGGGTGAAGGTACTATGAGTTGTTGCTTAGGAATGAATGAGATCTTGGCATCTATTTAAACATGGCATTGGTAAAGGTCGAACAAGGGCACTTTGAGACCGCCATCTTGATCCTTCACAACTTTTTCGTCTTTTATTACGGGTACAGGTGTTTGGAAGCATTACATAAAATATCTTCATGACTCAAACGCTGTGAACAGTACGTGATGCAGCTGTTTAAGGGTTCATATTTAATTGTGGATGCTGCTTCGAGGCATTTCTGACCTAATTCGGCTATCGGTACAACGCACGTCAGTGTGAGTTCTGTTTCACCTGCTACAACTGGGTAGAGTATAAAAGATCATATATTTTCAAATCTCTTCCAGTGAAGCAATAATTGATATTTAGATAAAGACTTTAATTCGAAAGTATGCGCCCTATAAAATGTGGTTTTAGGAGTTTAAAAGGCAGCTTATTTTTTTGAAAGCTGTTTCGAGTATTGTTATACCTGTAAACAAGCTTTAAAAAAATTATTCTCTCGCTTACAAAGTTCAACCGACCTTTTTCGTTCTATTTAGTAAAGATGCGTAACTTAAGTAGAAACAGTAGCGTTAGGGAATAAAATTGGAAGAAGCTAGTTGACACAATAATTAGATACCGTTATATTGAGTGGAGTAACATGATATAAGTAGAAATATATTTCGGCAGTTTGATAATTTTCTTGGAAGTTAATAAATGTTGGGCTATCAACCATGACGTTGCATGAAACATAATTTAATTGCAGATGTTGTAATAAATCCGAGGTGATTTCTTAAAATCGTTTGAGAAAATTTTATAGTAAAACAATTTTCCTCTTTTTTACGTACGAATTGTGAAAGGGCCAAAGACAAACATCTTCACATGCAAATTGTGTGCATGAGTTATTTTTATAATTCTGTTTCCTAGATTACTGTGTGAAAACTCGAATTCCCTCACGTACGATCCACGAAAGGGGGCAAAGTCCAACACTTTTCACGTGCCAGCTGTGTGACTGTACATCTCATGCAGATTGGCTTTTCACAATAATAATAGTAACTTGGACGTATGAAGACCTGTTTCGTTTAGTACCCAATGCCTTAAAAAAGGCTCTTGTCTTTTAAGAAGCAATGGCTTTTAAAACATGACGAAATGAGTTGTCGTAGTTAAAGACTTTCACAAATGTTAATAAATGTTAGGTTATCAACCTTGACGTTGCATGAAACATAATTTAATTGCAGATGTTGTAATGACGCTGAGGTGATTTCTTAAAATCGTTTGAGAAATTTTGTAGTAAAGAATTTGCCTTTTTTTAATGTATGAATTGTAAAAGGGCGAAAGACCAACATCTTCACGTGCAAATTGTGTGCGTGAGTTATTTTTATAATTCTGTTTACCAGTTTACTGTGTGATAACTCGAATTCCCTCACGTACGAACGACGAAAGGGGGCAAAGTCCAACACTTTCACGTGCCAGCTGTGTGACTGTACATCTCATGCAGATTGGCTTTTCACAATGATAAATAGTAACTTGGATGTATGAACACCTGTTTCGTTTTGTAACCAATGCCTTAAACAAGGCTCTTGTCTTTTGAGAAGCAATAGCTTTTAAAACATGAAGAAATAAGTTGTCGGAGTTAAAGACTGTTTCACTGAGTAGAATCGCACGTGAAAACCTCGTGAATTATGATGATGCAACCATCTACCACAATGATAAAAATCCTGGTATTTCGTAACTATTCAGTATAATTTCGATGAGTCACATTTTGGCTTAAGAAACTCCGAGGAAACCTTATAGTTTTCCTTCTAATCAACGTTTGGTGAGTAGAAATTTATTTCACTTTAACGATTTGTTTAACTTGCACCAGATGTAACAGGGAAAGACAGAGGAGAGCGAATATATAGCTTGAGGATCGACTCAGCTGAGCGTTTCGCGTTTTCATTTATGTACCGCAATACGCAATTTCGCACAAAAACCCAAACTACATTTAGGATGAAAGAGGTAGACTCATCACTCTTGGTAAGGTTACGCCGAAGCATTAAAGTTACACTGAAGCATTCAAAATAGCTCATGCACGTTTAACGTGCCTATGTTTTTTTTCAACAGATGTCATGCAATAATACTCTAACCTTGAGAACTGTTTCTTTCAATGCACGTGCACATAGAAAATGCAAGTGCATATGTCTGCATAAATTATGAAAATACAAAGAGTCAAATTCCTCTGGGACCTTTATCAGGTGCGGATCTAGAATAAATACCCTAACTGATTACCTAAACAAGCACCGAAAGCTCAAGCTTCAATGCTCCCCCAGGAAATTTTTTGGATTTTAACTCCCCAAAGTCCCTCTAATTTCCTGCATTTCGGAGTTATTCAGACAGGATATTTACTGACTCTTGAAACCATTTTCCATATTTCAACTGGGAAAAGCTTATTTTTTAATCAAAACTATTTTCATTATGAGAAATCTGACCGATTTCTGTAAAACGGTGGAAATTAACTGGTGTGGATCCGCGCCTGTTTGTTAAATGAAAAAAGCATACAAGCTACAGAGGTCTATTGGATTTTTCTTGAAAATCTGTAAGTAATATGATTTCGAGCCAAATTTTATTTTTACCACGGTTATAGCCACGGTGCTTTTGCATATATGCAGTATATGCTCAACGTCCAAAAGGACTGAATCACAGAAGCCCTACAGTATTTGGTAGAATTTTCGTGTGGAAATAAGAGCTATTCAGTTACTGTGAGCATAGTCTAATAGTTTTAATACTCGACTGTCTGGCCTCCTTAGCCTTAGATGTTCATTCCTAACCTGCTATCAGACATATCTTTTACTTTTTGAGAAGGCAGGGAAAAAGGAACCAGCAAGAAACATAAATAAATAAATGGAGGGCATAGGCACAGGCTAGGTTATTACATGAAAGTAAATATGTGAAATTTTTATTGATTCAGGGTTCGTATGGGTTATGGAAAACCTGGAAAGTTATGGCGTTTAAGAATTTCATTTTCCATGCCTGGAAAGTCACAGAATTTAATTGTTGGTCCTTGAAAGTCGGGGGAAATGTAAGTTTTATTGGGTAGCTGATTAGTTACTGCAGATGACAAGGCAAGTACAATGTAAGATAGAAAGGAGTGGTTGAACAGCATGAACTGCACACATTTAGGTGGACACCAAAGTTGGTGTCTGTTGAACTGTTTGACCCTTTAAGCCCCAATATCCACATACAAATTGTCCAAACTGGTCTTTATACATTTCCTTAAGGAATAAGTTGAGAGAAGTTGGTAGAGGATCAAAGCATTTTCTCTTAGGTGATCTTTTTATTGACTCTCATAACCATTTCTCTTGGTAACGTATGGATATTGTTAGGAGAAAATTGACCTTGGTCACTATCGGGACTTAAAGGGTTAAGGTCAAAAATACTCTAAAACGCAAAAGCTTTAAAAATTGGTAAAAAGTGACATCTAAACCTAAGGTCATGGAAAACTTAAAAAGTTCATGGAAAAAGTCATGGAAGGTCCTAGAATTTGAAGAGCTTAAAAGAGTACAAACCCCTCAGATTATTTCAGAAGCTATTCTCAGGACAGAAAAAATTATAGCAGGGGACGTACAGTAATTACTCAATTTTTTTTCCTTTCTCTACAGAAACTCCCCACAAAGAACCTGCAGTTCGTGTACCAAGCCTTCAGCATCTGTCTAAAATTGCGTATGACCTGGGACTAGACATGGAGGAAAGAGAGCTGATGGAGTACCAAGGTGAATTTCTTGTTCCAATGAAGCCCTAAACTTGAGCTGAAAATTAAACTTAAACTATGATTTACATATCCATAATAGAGTCCTTTGTGTTCAATGAAAATTTACAATTAAGCTGAATCTTGATTGTTGATATTAAAGCTTGGAAATTCTTTGTATTTAACAGAGGCTATTTCCAAGACTCTGGGTGATACATACCAGCGGTTGTACGAGTTACCAGATCCCAAGCTCCCGGTCAAGTATCCACGGACACCAGGTTACAGGCCACCAGCAGAGGAAAACCCTTACAATGCTTGGTGAGAGTCAGCTGTCTATTAGACAGATAAGAACTTAATTTTAAGACTGGAAGTTAATGAGTTAATGTTATGTGCTTATTCAACAAAAATTATTATCATAGATAAACAACCTCCTAGCTAGGTGAGGTATAGGTATTCACATACTTGTGGTGGAGGACAGGGGGTTTGGAGCCTGGGGGAATAGAGGGTAGGGGAGAGAAAATAGCAGTAGCTGGGAGATAAAAGAGGGTGGGAAGTGGGAGTAAAAGAGGGACATTAGTTGAAAATGATTGATAAGGGCGGAAGCTAGAAACGCATGGTATGGGAGGTGGGAGGTGTGGACCCTTCTGTTACCCCCTTCCACATACACACACACACATGGATATAGCTGGAGTATGGTCGTTTCACCACAAAGTCGTTTCGCTACAAGTTGTTTTGCTGCATAATGAAGTCGATAACTGTTCTTATGTGGACATGATTTGGCAGATTTATTCGCTATCTTCCGAGTGTAGAGAGAGATGTTGTCACACGCGTCCAAGGTGCCCCGTTTTGGGGGCACTTACAGTGACCGCATTGGCGTAAACGTCAGCTCTCCCTGATATGGTACCAATCTCCCAGTCTCCTGTACGTGTCTCCAGATCTCCCAGATAAAATTGAATTTTGAGCTTTTATTTGCTTTAGTTTGGAATTTAGCCCGTTTTCTTGCAAAAATGCATTTTTTTCGATGATGAAGAGAGAGAGAGTCTCCAGATCATTTAGATCTACAAAGGTTGGCATCTCTGCATTGCTCAACTTAGGATGGCCTTAGTTCATCTGTGAGATATGTGTTAAACCCTGCAGTGTGCGTTTTTTATCAGGTACTGGCGCTGTGACATCAAAGGAGCACCAAGTGGTAAACTGCAAGGCAAGACAGTTGCCATTAAGGATAACACGTGCGTAGCAGGTGTACCCATGATGAATGGTTCCCGGATGTTGGATGGCTTTGTCCCGGATATCGACGCCACTGTGGTGTCCCGGATATTGGATGCTGGTGGACATTTAGTCGGCAAAGCTGTTTGTGAAAACTTGTGCTGGGATGGTGGGAGTTTCACAGCTGCTACCGGGCCGGTGGTGAATCCACACAACAAAACGAGGATGGCCGGTGGCTCGTCTTCGGGATCGGCTGCTTTGGTGAGATCAGAAAATGATTTTAAATAATACGCTGTTCTTATTGTAATTCACCCACTCATCAAGTCCTCGTTTTCTAACTACGACGTTTCCATATTTGTTAATGATCGCTTCAAGTTAGGCGATTGTTCATACATGTTAAGTTAGTTGTTTCAAGCGTACATAGAAGTTTAGTACAGTACCGCAAATGATCCCCGGCCGCAAAAGATCCCCAGACCGCAAATTTTTATTCGGGGTAGGTGTCAGAGAGTTTCGGGGTTACAAATACTATCATTTTCTCAAATTGATACTGAGTATCTGGTAGATTGGATTTGACAAATTTCTTCTTAAAAACATCATGTGTAAGTCACGTTCTTATATACGTTCTTCTGCTTGTAATAACTTTTCTAGGAAACTTTCTAGGCTAGCCTGTCCAAAGTACTGTGCTTTCTCGAATATGAGTAAGAGTGTGAAACGAAATGCCTCAAATTTTAAGAAAATATTTCTCTCTCCAAAAATTCGTTTAAGAGAAAAATCAAGCAAACTTTTACTTCCTTTCTTCTTTTTTATTTTTTGCATTTATTTGAGAGGCAAAATTTATTCAGTTTAATACTTTTGACACGTTGATCCCGTATATCTTGACTCCAAGCCATTCTGATTTTCCTCTCGGGATCATTTGCGGTCGACAATGGAGATCATTTGCGGTCAATTTTGGGGATCATTTACGGTCTGGGGATCATTTGCGAAGGAAGTAGCCTTACCCTTTCTGCTCTTATAGTTATTTAGAATGTCTTTCTGTTGGTCCTCAAGGTGGCTGGAGGATACGTTGACATGGCGACTGGTAGTGATCAAGGTTGCTCTGTAAGAGTCCCGGCCTCCTTGTGCGGAATTGTGGGATTGAAACCGACTTACGGATTGGTTCCGTTTACGGGCATCATGTCATTAGATGTGACTTTGGATCATACGGGACCTTTGGCCAGGACTGTTTACTCCGGTGAATTAAGGAATGGGGCACTGCAAATTTGGAGGGGGGTGGTCTTTTTAAGTGGGGATTTTACCTTTCGCATTAATATTTTAAATTCAATATCTACTCCCCATAAGCATTCATTTCTCTCTATTATTAATGTATTACCTGTGTCACGTGACTTGTCACGCCCATTTTTGACTTTTTTTTTCAATCCAAATTTACACCACTTTATAAATAACACTTGTAATTTAATTCACTTTTTGTCAATGACTATTGACACAAAGTTTATGGAATTAATCGGGGTTTTCTTAAATTATCTACGTTTTGTAAACTATAACGTTTCTTGTTAAGAGGGAGACTGGGACGAGAGAAATATATCTAATAATTACGAAGGAATGGATCATTTCACAAATCCCCGATTAATTTAGCTTATCTGACTGTAAATGAAATATTATGGAAGGAAAAACGATTGTGGTCACATTCAGTAAACTGGTGTAATCTGCAAAGTCCAAATTTTGCATAATTATGGGCGTGGCTGGTCACGTGATCTAATAAAAGGAGTGTTTAAGGTCCAAAGTGGTTGTGGTCTTAAACACAGCAGTCTAAGATTAAAATAAAGGAAGATACTGGAAAAAACAAGATCAAGTCATAAAACCCCGCATGTAACGAAGACCCATTCCTTAATTCACCGGAGTATGACATTGCTTTGATGCTAGAAGTAAGATGACAATAAGCTTTAAAGTTCTGTTGGAAGAGTTTATTTTTTCTACGGAACATTTTAGAGCTAAAATCGTCTGTTTATGTGGTTAAAAGAATTTATTTTCAATGTAAGGAATTTATTTCGAACGAGCCACCATCTAACGGCCTCTTGTAGCCCATTCACGCTTCGTCATTCGGATAACTTCTCCGCCGGCACGAAAACCATACCGAATAGGGGTTCTGTTAACGCATAAGAACGGTGATTTTGGTGCAATTTCTGATAGCCTAAGTGTTTGTTTGTACTGCGTGTTCCGACCGAATTTCTTTAAATTTATGTTCAGTTTTGTCACACTGAGATGCGTTATTACTTGCTACATTTGCTAAACAGAACATCTGATTAGGGAGTTAAAGCAACGACGCTTTTAACTGAGCGACGAACGTCAACCGGAAATAGACTTTTTGCACTCTTTGGCCGTGATTTTGAACAAATTCTTGGGCAAATCGTCTCTATAAGAGTAAAAACACTTAGCAATACAAATTAAGTAGCGTCAAGGCATATTAAAAGAGAAAATTGAAAGGCTCACTTCCGGTTGACGTTCGTCGCTCAAAAATGTCGCTTCTTAAACTCCCTAGCTCACTCAGTAGAGCGCTTGATTGCAGAGCGGAAGGTCACTGGTTCGATCTCCTAGTCTCAACCAGTACTCATGGTCTTAAAATAATTGAGAAATAAAGGTGCTACCTTTGTCCTGCCAGACCCTCGCGTGGCTCGGAGGACAACGTTAAGATGGCGGTCTCGTCTCCAGGAGGAGACGTAAAAATAGTGTCCCCAGTTCGTTCTTTCAAACTCAATACGTTAGCGCTCATATAAAGTGCATTCCCTGTGAGTTCTCTGTGAAAACAGAGTGTTTTTATATGACGCTCATTCTCTCTTACGTTAACTAAAGGGAACGTCAACGGAAACTGATTTGCTGCTTTGGGCCGTGAGATAGCGGGGAGGAGGGGGAAGATGCGGGGCAGAAATGTCAAAGTAAAGGTAGTTTGTTATGGCAGTATAATGTACGAGGGCAAATTTTCTCTATACCTGATAACTTTGGCTTAACATAATAGCCGTTTCACATTCGTCAATTTAGCAATGTAGTAACGGCCGCGAACTTAGCTAGAGCTAGTCACCTCTTTTTCTGGGAAACTGTCCACCTACCCCTCCCCTAAGCTAACATTAATACTTACTTCTTACTTAGGGGAAAATGATGGTTTAGAGGAGGGGTAGGTGGGCAGTTTCCCAGAAATCTAAACTGATCCAATATCAACAGGTTATTGCTGGGTATGATGACGGTCTGGATCCAGGACAGCCACGTGACCTACACGTTCCAGAGTATACGTCACTGGTGCGTATGTTGTATACAGCTATTTCGAGAAAGGTTGTCGGAAAAAATGTGCTCGCGAAAATCGCGAAAGCTAATATGGGATATGACTAATACACTATTCCTGACACTGTAGCTGTCGAATCTACTTTTGCTGCTTTTCTTTAGCACTCGCAAACATAAGGCTATGGCCTATCCTTCCACTCTTTCAAATTTCCTTGAAGAACTTGAGTGAACACGAAACAACCCAACATACCTTTCGGGACGGTCGCGTGCACTTTTCCCGACCACCTTTCTCGAAAAAGCTGTACATTGTTCTCTTGATTGTGCTTAGTGCTTTAATTTATAAATTTAGCCAAGGTCTTTGTCTTTAGTGTCGTGCAAGTCATGACATATCACGTACTAAAAATAAATACGCAAAAGCTAAATTTAGCGCTTAAATAGAGCTAGCAGGCTATCGAATCCATCAAAAACTCATTTGTCCTGAACATTTCGCCCGTTTTAAAACAACAACTTTCCAACAAGGTGATCTATTCAAAAGAGATAAAAGTTTTAGGGCAGTCGCGGTTTCGTTGAAATTCATAGCAGCTTTCCCAGAAACCTCTACGGCATCTCAGTCATTTATCTTAAGTGAATTTTCTTTTCAACCTAAATGATTAGTAAAAAGAATAGTGTTCTTATTGTTGACCCAAACATTTTTATAAAAATTACATAAACAGACTGCAATCTTACTTACTGTCCCCTCTGTCCCCTGTGTCCCTTGTGTCCCCTTGTGTCCCCTGTTTCCCCTTGTGTCCCCTGTGTCCTCTTGTGTTCCCTGTGTCCCGTTGTGTTCCCTGTATCCCCTTGTGTCCCCGTGTCCCCCGTTTCCCCTGTGTCCCCTTGTGACCCTTGTGTCTCCTTGTGTCCCCTGTGTTCCCTGTGTCCCCTTGTGTCCCCTTGTGTCCCCTGTGTCCCCTCTGTCTCCTGTTTCCCCTTGTGTCCCCTGTGTCCTCTTGTGTTCCATATGTTCCCTTGTGTTTCCTGTATCCCCTTGTGTCCCCCGTGTCCCCTGTGTCTCCTGGTGACCCTTGTGTCTCTTTGTGTGCCCTGTGTCCTCTGTGTCCCCTTGTATCCTCTGTGTCCCCTTGTGTCCCATGTGTCCTCTGTGTTCCCTTGTTTCCCCTGTGTTCCCTTGTGTCCTTTTTGCCCTTTGTCCCCTTGTGTCCCCTCTGTCTCCTGTGTCCCCTTGTGTTTCCTCTGTCTCCGGTGTCCCCTTGTGTCCCCCGTGTCCCCCTTGTGTCCCCCTTGTCCCCTGGGTTCCCCTGTGTTCCCTTGTGTCCCCTGTGTTCCCTGTGTCCCCTTGTGTCTCCTTGTGTCCTCTGTGTCCCCTTGTGTCCCTTGTGTCTTCTTATGGCCCGTTGTGTCCCCTGTGTTCCTTGTGTCCTCTGTGTCTCCTTGTGTCCCCTTGTTTTTCCTGTGTCCCCTGTTTTATCCTGTGTCCCCTTGTGTCCCTTGTGTCCCCTTGCATCCTCTGTGTCCCCTTGTGTTCCCTTTGTCCCCTGTTTCATCCTCTGTCCCCTTGTGTTCCCTGTTTCTCTTGTGTCCCCGTGTGTCCCCTGTGTCCCCTGTGTCTTCTTGTCTCCCTTAAACGCCTTCAGGCGTCTTCGTGTTGAAGGAAATCATAGACAACAATTTTCCATTGTCCACACTTCTTGTGCGCTCTCTAGTAGAGAGACATGGTGGGTCATGTAGCAGCTGCTTGGAAGAGAAGTCACCAATGGCGTGTTTCCCTGACCCCAAACAATACTAAAACAATTGGAAGAATGACATGTCATTGTTTCCTGCGACCAATTAGGAGAGACCTTACGAGCAGCTTCTAACTTCTACACCACTCGGCTCCACATGGTCTTTGAAAGTTCCAACAATGGAAATTGTTGTCAAATGGACCCTAGAAATGACGTCAGAAACTTCGAAACTCACGTGAAACCACTTGAGTTTGTTGTTGTTGTTGTTGTTGTTGTTTTTCCTGCACCTAGTTATACTGGCAACTATGAAATGACTTAACAACCTCGTTCCCAGGGCTTTTTCCCATTTTTTAAGGGAAAAAGCCCTGGGAACGAGGTTGATGTCTTAACTTTGCAAAGTGAAAACCTAGGCCTTTTCCGAGTTCCCCTGGCCTCTGTTTCAAAACGAGGGTAGGTGCTCAGCCTTTGATATGGAAATCATTTTTCATTCTCATGCAAATAAAACTCATTTTTACAAGAAAGGTTGTGCACCTGGGCTCATTTTGAAAGTGAGGGCTTTTGGAACTGGGAAGTGGCCTATTACCCACCTGGCGTGTGGGATGAAACTCAGCATAGCAATTTGCCGCCTTTAATCAAATTTCGCATTATTTGTATCAGCTCACAGGAAAGATAGAAAACTTGAAGATAGGAATCTTAAAAGAAGGGTTTGGTTTGGAAATCTCCGAACCGGATGTTGACAAGATGGTGAAGGAAGCCGCTGGACAGCTGAGCCGTAAATGTGGCGCAGTCGTCGAGGAAGTTTCAATTCCAATGCATTCAGATGGTAAGCTATTCGCTTCAATACTCAGTCAGAAGTGCTACGTAGCTGAATCTAGTTACTTTCGATAATCCTTTTTTGAACCCGGATCCAATGCAGAGAAAAATGAACTGAGAGAAACGTCACACTATTTTCCTTCGTCCTGTCATACTAAACACCGTGAAATGTCTGTTGACGTAAAATAAGCTCTTGTTTAATTCTTTAAAAGTTAAGGCGTGCAGCTTAGTGACTCGCTACTGGGTAGATAACGCAAATCAAGGCTGAGTAAGATTTTTTTTGAGCCTTTCTATGTGTTTTGAAAAAAGCCACTTTATTTCCATTATTGATAGAAAAATCCCGACGGATTGAGCAACACAGTCAACAAGACTCTTGGGCCTGTTTACATGGAGGTGGGGTACCCCAGATAGGTGAGGTAACATTTGGCGGGTCACCTCACCTATCATGTAAACGTGATCAAAAGGACTGGCGGGTTACCCCACCTTAGCCGGTTACCTCACCTACTCGGGGTACCCCACCCTCATAATGTAAACTGGCCCTTAGCTTGTGTTCACCTTATACTGGATAGCTCTTGCGCCATCATGTAAAATAATCTTCGGTCTCATCCTTTTTTTATACCACAGCTGGTCATATTATAACTGCTATTTATCATCTTGGAAGTCATCGAATGGTGTTCGAAGGGGGTGGTAAGTATTACCCGCTATCTAAACTCACAGGCTGGTAGTAGTTTTTCTGTTGGCGTTAAGAAGAGGTCAATCGAGATTCAGCTAAGAAGGAACATTTTGTGGTGGACAAGCATCTGCATGTACTGTAAATCCTCTATTAAGCCACCCAAGGGGCTTGTTTATTTCAAGGCCATTTTAGAGGGGCTTAATAGAGACTTTATTTAGAAAAGACGATGGTATCAGTTCTTCATAAAGAACTAGAATACAAACTCGGGAATAGCTCAAGTACAAGAGGGTTGAAGGTCATGCAGCCGAGGATCAGAATCAGATCCGAACAAAACCACCCCGGATTAGCCCACACGAAGTTTTACACTCGTGATTGATTAATACAGTCTATCATTTATTAGTGAAGAATAATTAGGGAATTGGAGGGGGGCTTAATAGCGAGGGAGGCTTATTAGAGGGGTGGGGGGGGGGGGTTAATAGAGGATTTACGGTATCTAAAACGGGGAACGGGGAGTGGCGAGTGGCGATTTGGGAACGGAGAAGAGGGAACAGGGAACGGAAACGACACGGGAACGGGAAAATGAAAAAATGGGAACAAAACTTAACTTAAACCTGGCCTAGCTCTATCTGTAATTACATTACCCATTCTCTTGTTGAAAACTTTTTGCAACAAAGATTGTACTGCATCATATTACATTGCATTACTTTGCATTAGTAATTGCATTACATTGTACTGTATGGTATCGTAATCTTGGTGCACTCGGTACAGCAAAAAGTACAGTCATGTTAGCCGGATTATAACCTGTTAGGGAAACGACGGTAGATGTGTTAAATTCACCTTTGTAACTGCAGAGATCTGTGGACTGATTTTTACACTACATACCCTCCCTGAAAGGTTTTGGATCATCTGGCAAGATGTACTATGACACAACCCTTCAAGAGGCTTTTTTGCGCGGCCTGAAATGCCACTCCAATGACTTGCCAGCAACCTGCAAAGAGTCCAGACTGATTGCAAAGTATTTGCACGACGAATACAACAGCGTTTTCTATGGAAAAGCGCAGAACCTGGGTCGAGTTCTTTGTAGAGCTTATGACGAAGCACTCGAGAAGTGTGACGTGTTGATTTTACCGACTAGTCCAATTAAGGCACCAGTCTTCCCACAACAGAATGTTTCTCTGAAAGGTATGTTAACAATATGTACCTTGTGCAATTGTTGATTAGTTTTAAGGAAACGAAAGTTCTGAACTCTTTTTGTTTCTGAAACAACGAAAAGGGAAGTGTTAGGGAGCTATTGTGGTTGAAGAAGGTGGTTCCTACCTGGGAGAGGTTGGGGGGAGAGTGATGTTTCAGTTTGTTACCGGGGACTTTAAGATGCCACGTCGGCGACGACAATGAGAACGTCAAAAAAGCAATAGGTTGAATAGGCAAAACAACAACTCTGCACGCGCGTCACGCTTTTTTGTTCATTTCTTTGCCGTCACTGCACGACTACGACTATTTGACGTTTTATCGAGGACCTAAACAAGCAACGGCTAAATTTTCTTTCTCTTTCTGAACTTGAATATGATTCTTAGGAATTCGGCTCTAAAAGAGGTCGCTTGCATTTGACAAAGTAAATGAGTTGGAGTAATCGGTATAGAGATTGAAAGAACGCAAATTCACTTTTTAAGCGACGTTTTCGTGGCCGTCGCGGTCGTGGTATCTTAAACTCCTTACTGACAAGCAATGGTAACATTGTTCAGAATTGAAGAAAGTATTGAAGACCTCGTCCCCCAATCAAAAAACTGCTGCACCGTCCACCTATAAAAATTTAGTTAAAAGCCACTGAGCAGTACTTTCTTTTGTTCTGTTTATTGTGCTTCACAAGGTGGTTATTACTTTGGACTCTGTGGATGTAATCTTTAAGTGTGACCATTCAAATGAAAGCTACTGAGCAGAACTTTCCTGTGGTGCTGTTTGTTATGCTGTACAAGCTGGTTCTAACTTTTGAGTCTGTGGATGAAATCCTAAAGTGTAACCATTCAAATGAAAGCTGTTGAGCAGTACTTTCGAGTGGTACTGTTTATCATGATGTGCAGTGTGGTTCTAACTTTTCTTTGAGTCTGTAAACGGTAGTCCTAAAGTAGTATCATTCATATCAAAGTTACTGAGCAGAACTTGAATCTGTTCATTATGCGGTGCAAGGTGGTTCAAACTTTAAAGCCTTTTGAATACATCCAGGTCGGTGACTACTCCAAGGAAAGCCCGCGCTAAGCAGCGGTTTCCCATGTCACTGTTTTTCGCTCTGTATAATGGGATATTAAGTTTCTGGTTGGATAAAATCCATGAGGACGTCCATGGAAGAAATTCGAGCAGATTAATCAATTAGAATTAATTGATTGTCCTACAGGATATTTGGAAAGGGCATATGTCAACAATAAAAACACTGCCGCATTCAACGTGACAGGCATCCAGCTCTTTCAATCAACGCAGGCTTCAGTGAAGGATTGCCAGTTGGAATGATGATCGTGGGAAGAAAGTTTGATGAAGCCACTGTTCTTAATGTCGCCTATGCTTATGAGAAGATCAGAGATACCTCAAGTTAATAGCCGTTACGTCAGACGAGCAGGTTTCACCACCAAGCCCCGTTTTTTAACTGTAAATTTGCTAAGTTTGGCATAACGGGAATTCCCAAGCTAAGGCAATCGAGTTAAAAATTACCCCAGTCGATACACAAAAAGTGCATTTTAAGGTGATGTTACACGGGACGATTCGCAACGACGATTTTTTACGCAACACAGTTTTGCCATGTTGGAACAATGTTACAACCATTTGAATTAATGTCGCAACAATGTTGCCGCGCTGTGTTGCGCTAAACATCGTTGTTGCGAATCGTCCCGTGTAACGTCACCAATTTTGCCTCCAAACGAGGATTGGTGGTGAAATTTGCTCGTCTGACGTAATCATGCATAAGGGCTATCACAGCAACAAAGTGACGTCACCGAACGGTGACTTGGGCGTGTGCATTAGAAGAAGACTCTCGGGCCGAAGTGCTTAAGTGAACAACTCAAAATGGAGCTGGTCAGACGACCACAGATAATTATAAGAGACTAGAGTTATAACTCATCCCTAATTACAATCCAACTTTATTTTTCATCTACGGAATTCCTAGTTATTTGTCGATAGAGTAGTGTCCTTTTCCTCCTGAAACGTGGATTGTAGCCTGCGTAGCGAGCGTTTCCATTTGGTTTCGGAGCAAAGAAAGACCGGTTTTGGCTTGCTACGCAAGCTAAGTGGATTGTTATAGCCTGCTTTTGCCTTGTCCGTTCCCGTATTGCCCTGCCGTGACCACTTTTGGCCCTTCAAAGACAAGAAGCCCTAAGAGCGTTAAATCGGCCCCTTAAAGCAAATGACCGGCACCGTGAAAGATACTGCCTTGTAAACACCTCCTACTTAAAACCATTCAAGTCAAACATCAATCTTTTATATACAGTCAACTCTCGCCTTGCGGGCACCTAACTGTAACGGACACCCCGATAAAACGGACAGCAGCTAAATCCCAGGAAAAAACAAATTACAGAAGTTTGACTGAAATAAATTCGCGCTATTATTGACTCTCGCTAAAGAGGACACTAACTAGAGGTTCCTACAATGTCCGCTATAAAGGAAGTTGACTGTAGTAGGAGCCATGTTGCGCGGATATAGTAGTAGTTTTCCCATTTTTTTGGACGGACCCATAGAAAGGAAATCTTGGCGACCATGCAAAATTCACTAAGACGAGAAAATGTTCTTTGCTTTTGTTTCCAGAAAGTTAGTTTATACGTACGGTAAAACTTTGCCGTGGCAATATTTGCAAACGAGGACAAATTGTTTTCAAATTCTTTTGCAAAAGCTCTCCAAAGCCCTTTACAATAAGGAGCTGTTCTCTTCTAAATCATTTCCCTCTAGTTGGTCAATTTTTAAATAAAACTCAGAGCTTCTTCTGTTGAGCTTGTGTTTAAAATGTAATTTTATAAGTCACAAATTTCTCGTTTTTAAGAGCAGTACAAAATAAGAAATTGATAAATGTGAAATGTGGGGGTGGGGGCCAGGATTGGCCACTCTTGGATAAATAATCTTGGTTTGGTCTGGTTATTTAAATTTGGATTGTTTGAAGATGCACCCTTTGATAAGTTGACTCTGTTTAGTCCGTCTTTGCTTTAACCTGTTCATCCCCGCCGAAGGCGACAAAATTAACAACTTCCATTTTCCACTCCTGAAGAAGGATACTGCATTAGTGCGTGACGTATTATTTTCACGTCGTAAAGAAACTGCATTTCAGTCAGCTGGTCATATATATATAATGCGTGATTCCAATTTTGCTCCTACCCAAAGGCGATTGGGAAGGCCCTGGGGACGAGTAACGTCACACAGTGCGTCACGCAACCTCTTTCCCTGTTCTTCGCAGGACACGACTGTGGCTTCTTCTGGTTGTGTCCCTTGCTCAAAGTCCTGGGCCCAGCATTCAATTGAAGCCTTAGCAGTGTAGAATCTAGAGGACTTTGTATTCAAAATGACCGAAAGCAGTGTTCACGGTAAGTGATACATTTACTACTTTGACAAAGTGCCACAAACATGCATGCAACTCTGAACTGTGAAAGAAAGGTTCCATATGAAGTGCACTAGAAGTTTAGTCGATTTTCTCAGTTAGAAAATAATCGTTCTTATGCATTACAGTTCAAAATCACGGAGTTACTCATTAACTAAAGTTACAACATAGCTCAAGGTTTTTGTACAGTGTCTTTGCCAATGCTGCTTCATACGTTTATCATTTTCACATGACCACAATGCACCTTGTTCACACACCTGGCCAGCAAGTGGGCAAGCTCTCCGGGGTGCAAAAAGGGAGGGAAAGCTTGCCATCACGTCTCAGAATTTGAATTTCACCTCCTGTTCCCCCAGTAGTACTATCAGATTTTGGGCAAGCAACGCAGAGCCATTGTGAGCTTGAACTGCAAACAAACATAGAGAAAGAACGTTGAGATAACAAGCAAACAAAACCCTGAAAGTAGCACAGATGAAAAAAAGAGGGTAGACAAAAAGTTCTCAAATTGTCAGTTGTGTGGTCAAGTCTTTGAGAGTGCAAAGAAATCTTAAGCGAGATCAGAGCTATAGGAACTTAGTGACTTCGGCCCTACCAAGATCCTGTTTAAGATCCCACAGGAACCTAGAGGAAGATATGGAATAAAGTGACCTACTAAGATCCTGTTTAGGATCTTACAAGCACTTATAGGAAGCTATTGACATAGTCCTACCAAGATCCACTTTCATAGGATCCAACGGGAACCTATAGCAAGCTATTGACTTAGTCCTATCCTACCAAGATACTGTTTAGGATCCTACAGGAACCTGTAGGAAGCTATTGACTTAGTCCTACCAAGATACTGTTTAGGATCCCACGGGACCTATAGGAAGCTATTGACTTAGTCCTATCCCACCCAGATCCTGTTTAGGATCCTACAGGAACACATAGGAAGCTATTGACTTAGTTCTACCAAGATCCTGTTTAGGATCCTACAGGAACCTATAGGAAAAATATTGACTTTTCCTTCCAAGATCCTGCTCAGAATCTTACAGCAACCCATAGGAAAAATAATGACTTCGTCCTTCCAAGATCCTGCTTAGAATCTTACAGAAACCTATAGGAAAAATATTGACTTAGTCCTTCCAAGATCTTGATTAGAATCTTACAGAAACCTATAGGAAGCTATGGATTTAGTCCCAATAAGATCCCGTTTAGAATCCCTTTAAGCCTGGTTTTCACTAGAGCATAAGCACAAGCATATGTGTATGCAAGTGAAAACTGGGTCAACATACAGCATAATCACAAGAAAAAGGACACGTTCGTTTTTCTTGTGGTTGTGCTTATGGTTATGTCGTAACTTTGACTAGTGAAACGGGGTCAACATAAGCACATTAGCATAAGCACAAGGCCGTGGGCCAATCATAATCATTTATTGACTAAGATCCTGTTTAGAATTCCTTAAGCCAGGTTTTCACTAGAGCATGAGCATAAGCACAAGCACATGTGTATGCTAGTGAAAACTGGGTCAACATAAAGCATAAGAATAAGCACAAGGCCGTGGACCAATCATAGACCACTTTGACCCAGACCTCATGTGAACATAGTCAAAAGCAACATGTTGAATGAAGCATCTGCCATCTTGTTTACGATCGGGTTGAGGAGAGCTGGTATCGAAAATTCAGACAAATATGCCATTCTGCACATGAGTATGTCCTTATGCTTATGCACTAGTGAAAACAAGGCTTAAGGAACCTATAGAAAGCTATTGACTTAGTCATAACAGGATCCTGTTTATTATTCTACAGGTACCTATAGGAAGTTATTGACTTAGTCCTACCAAGATCCTGTTTAGGATCCCACGAACCTATAGGAAATTATTGACTTATACCTACTAAGATCCTGTTTAGGATCGTACAGGAACCTATAGGAAGCTATTGACCTAGTCCAACCAAAATCCTGTTTAGGATCCCACAGAAACCTATAGGAAGCTATTGACCTAGTCCAACTAAGATCTTGTTTAGGATCCTACAGGAACCTATACGAAATTATTCACTTATAACTGCCATGAACCTGTCTAGGATCCTACAGGAACCTATAAGGAAATTATTGACTTGGTCCTACCAAACTCCTGTTTAGGATCCTATGGGAACCTCTAGGAAGCTATTGACCTAGTCCAACCAAGATCTTGTTTAGGATCCTACAAGAACCTATAGGAAGCTATTGACTTAGTCCTACCAAGATACTCTTTAGGATCCTACAGGAACCTATAGGAAGCTATTGACTTAGTCCTACCAAGAAACTGTTTAAGATCCTACAGGAACCTATAGGAAGCTATTGACTTAATCCTACCAAGATCCTTTTTAGGATCCTACAGGAACCTACAGAAAGCTATTGACTCAGTCCATCGAAGATCCTGTTTAGGATGCCATTGGAACCTATAGGAAGCTATTGACCTAGTCTAACCAAGATCCTGTTTAGGATCCTAAAGGAACCTATAGGAAATTATTGACTTAGTCCTACCAATATCCTGTTTAGGATCCTACAGGAACTTGTAGGAAATTATTTAGTTATACCTACCAAGATCCTGTTTAGGTTCCTACAGGAATCTATAGGAAATTATTGACTTTTTTACTTACCAAGATCCTGTTTAGGATCCTACCAAGATCTTGTTTAGGATAGGTCAAGAGCTTCCTTTAGGATCCTACAGGAATCTATAGGAAGCTATTGACCTAGTCTAACCAAGATCCAGTTTAGGATCTTACAGGAACCTATAGGGTGCTTTTGCTGTGCAATCGATTTGGACTTTCGACTGACCAAGCGCTGGGGTGAGTCAAAAATGATTCAGTACAATAAAATGCCTGCTCTGAGGCTATAATTCACCTATTTGGAGAAGAAGGAGCACAAATGTTTAAAAAGTCTGACGTCGATGTTAATTCTGCATTTTACCCCTAGCCTGCAT